CCAAGGCAACTACACGTTCAAATCGGCCTTGCTGGCGATATTAGTACGTCTTCTTTCCGGTACAGCTGTGGATAAAAGAGTTTCATTTAACTACAGTCTCTGCTAATATCTGTTTGGTTTGCCAAAGGCTCTCATGGAACAAGTTCAATATATCCCAATCCCACGCATTGAGCACGAGGATGAAAACTGGCATATAATCGTGGAGGATCTGGTGTTGGAGAGCGAGAGCTTTTTGCCGGCAATGATGGAAATTGAGGTATGAAGCTGGTTTAAACCGTTACCTCGGCGGTCAGTAATACTTTGATCAAAATGAATAGGTCAAGAACCATGCTGTTATTCCCGTACGTGTCAAAAAAAGGCGGACCAAGTCGGGATTGAGCACTGGGTTCGCAGTTGCCATGTAAGTTTCGATGCTGCAGCGGCAAGCCACAACACCTTCCGATTGGGTCTAAATCACCGCCGTTTGCAATTTTCCAGGTATCAAATTCAAGCGACTGTAGAGGATATTCCCTTCTACTACCGCAAAAAGTCTGGCTTCCCCAAAATTAAGGATGCGGGGGTAGCCGATGTCGCTGTACGTATCACTGTCACAGGCGTTTTTGGTAATTTTCTAACAATCTTGCTAGATCGGCGGAGACGGCATTACCATATCCACTCGATGCTCACTGGACACGGACAGCACCGAGCGCACACTTGTCCCGGAAGACGTCAAAATCTATGTGGATCAGCTGAAAGTGAAGCTGCATGATACCAGGCATGAGTAAGTAGCTGGTCCATGAACCTAGTCCATGAACCTAATGTACTTCTGGCTTCTGATACATCATCTGCCTCAAACAGCACTCTCTACACCGCTCTATCTCCTCTTTTGAACACGCTTATTCGCAACCGTGTGATCGAAACTCTGGAAACGCAGATCCGCGATTGGATTGAAGAGGTGGACATTTATCTCACCCGCCTCAAAATCAAGTTTATGGAACTTCAAAGCGAACAGCTAAAGGCCCAGCATCGTGGAACAGTCAGCAGGTTGCTTGACGTCGTTGGCTTGGGACAAAAAGGGAGCGGAGTCAGTTTGAAGAAGCCTGAACAGAAGGCTCTGACTGGTCCGGAAGAGTTAACAGAGGAGGCGAGACCGAAGAGGGGAAAGGTGGTTCGTCCATGGGCAAGTGAAACGTTTCAGTTGAGGCGTGTTTGATATCGTCCCGGCTTCCCACGGCGACATACGAGTCCGTGGATAGTGCATGTTAGGTGTATTTTCTCATTTTGCGCAATTATCAATCAGTATGTATATAGCAGGGTGGGTCGTTGTCTTATTGAGATAATGGTCCCATGAAGGGGGATGCCAATGCTTGTATATTTGCGTTCGGCAACAGGTGGAGGAGGCCTAGCGTGGCATCTCACCCTTGTATAATCAAAAGCAATGCATGTTCGATTTGTAAAGTCCCTATTACCAATTGGCAATATGGCTGTCGGCCCAACCGCAATGGAAGTTCTTTCCACAGAACAGTGCCATTTTGCATACATAAAAGGCTACAACCCACAGATTGTAGCATTTGAAAGGTCTATATTCATGGCCATTAGGCAATGCAATAGGAAGGCCAACAAGCGGTCGGTGTCGCTTGGGAATCAAAGACTTTACTGATACCTCGTCTGTGATCTATGCGTAGCAATTGGGTACTATATACGTATTTCTTCAGCACATCATAAATTGAGTATTCTCCACTTTTCAAAAGTTATGCACAATAAACGTAGGAACATCCCTACAAATATTAATTCAATCTAATCTTGCTTAACAACCTGTTTTGATCTGGGCTTTTCCTGTTGCTTGGCCTTCCAGACGTTGTAGGCAGCATCCGTGCCAAAGATCCAATCCCACCACCGGAAGGAAGATGAATAGTTGCCTAACGATAAAGACAATTAACAATACTGAGACGAGATGAAAAGAGGTGCAAGTATAGGACGTACCAACGAACGCCATGTGGTGGTAGTCATGGAAGTCTGCACCACCCCAAAAGGGCAGAATCTTGTGAATCGACTGTTAAGTCAAAATATTATTAGGCAGCTGTAAGATGATTTGGATGCATGCATGCACACTCTCACCCATGGAAAGTCATATCCTGCATGTACATCCACAGTTTCAATCAACCGCACGGCCAACCACACGGCCATGGTCAGCACATGCATATCAACACCCATTGCCAGGAGCGCCACAGGTCCAATGAAGAAACCCTGTCCCACAACCAACACTTCAATCGGGTGGGCATATTCAGCTGCAATCCCGAACGGGGCCTGAAACTCGTGATGTAGCTTGTGAATGTACTTGTAGAATGGACCGTGGTGCATCAATCGGTGGGCAAAATAGTGATAACAGTCTTCTACTACGAGGCAGAAAAGGCAGGAAAGAGCAATGGTCGTCCTAATTATGACTGATGCATGAGCATTTTTTGCTCATCTTTATCGAGTCGTATGTGTCATTGATACACACCATGAAGGAAACGGGACTTCCAAAAAGCGCATGCCCAACCACGTTGCCGTAGGATGAAATAATAGCATCATCGGAAGTTGGACAAACAATTGGGATTGAATGACGCTCTTTACGCATTTCCAGTACATCTCTGGAGTGTTCTCCTTGTTCTAATAATGTAGGATCAGCAAGCTGCTCATGTCTGGTGGATCCCGTTATCGTCGGTACGTACTTCCTGAATCTTCCATTTTTTGAAGAACGGTATTTGATCCATGATGTAGTAAGGCAAGAACCGTCCGAAAAACACCACCTCGTGCCAGATGAAGAGGACAAGTGCGAGTTTAAGAGCTGGATGGGATGCATTTTCAAATAGGCCAACCCATTGGCGTTCCAAGTAGGTTGGGGTATAGTGTGCCGAACTGCTCAGAGTAGCAGGATGAGGAAACGTGTGTAAAACTACCAAAAGTTGGATGAGAGCATTTATTCTACCTGGCGTTGAAACTAGCTCCTACTGGTCTATGCAGCGACATATGTGCGATTTGCGTGGGGGAGTTACACGGTAAGTGCAAAGAGAATGTCACTTGCTCCTTGTGCTCTGGTCAACCAGGAGAGCGATGGAGCAGGACGGTTCAAAAAAAGGTGTGCGAAGAAAAGAAGGAGCGGAAGCAGGATCAGAAACTCCTTGAATCTGGCTTTTATATTGCCAAATGCAAGGGGGTGGGATGGTGGTGGGTAAAGTTTATATATGATTAAATGTGGCTCACACTGACAGCTAAAAGGTTAGGACAAAGGCATTAACGATTGGCTGTGGTTCATCGAGAGTGACCACCAAGAGTCAAAACGGGTGGAAAGGCAGCGAAACCCTCATCCTTGACTCCTTGTAGGAGGGGAGATCGCGTGTGCTTTCTACCACGCGTTTGGCGACAGATGAAAGAAACGCTGATGGCGTGATATTTCCTGCCTGCAAATCAACAGCGCATAACGTTCCATCGCTCAAGTAATGCAGGTACAGTACGCCTCGCCCTAAACGAGGATGAACGACGAAAGCCATGCCTCGCAGAGATTGCCTTCTCCATAACCTTGCGGGAGGCTACGACGGTCTTTAAAAAGGCTTTAAACGCTCGCTCGTCTTTCACCGTATCGCTTCAAACGCGAACCGCGTCAACGACTGAAATCGGACATCAGGCCACTGGCTTTGCTTATGTCATCAATAGTCACGTGCAGGAAGCGCTGGTTCAATTCAACAAACTCAATACAATTGCTATTAAACATTTACAAGGAAAACACAAAGAAAAAAGCCATATCCCCCAGCGCAACCGAGAAATATTTCAAAAATATCTACAAAGTCTATTGCGGTCGCATGGAAATGGCTGTAAAGTCGTGCGGTAGGTTGGTATAAGATTGCACACTGCTTCACAGTCCTTCCAGAAGGTTGTTTTTGCGCCCATATTACTCTTCCGCGCCATTATTCTCTGCGGCCGCTCGCTTTGGCTTGTGAAACGGTTGGAGTCGTATTGCCGAGTAGTCTTGCCGCAAATGTATTGGGACCCCTTGGCGAGCGAACGCTCGCGAAAGCTCCGTTGACTCTATGAAAACCAGGCAGCATTTATTATACCGCAAAACTAGAGTGCAAAAACAGTGTACTACATACCCATTGTACCGGGAAAGAAAGCGGGTGTGAAAACCTCGAATGGTTCGCTCACAACGGTGGCCATCGCACGGGACATTGGTAGGTATCTGCATGGAGCGATGAGGTAAGCCCTTTACAGCTCCACGCACCGCACACTACACTTACCCCTTCAGGCTCATGACTGCGAAATGTAACCGGTATATTCCTCTTGTCCGTATATTGAGATCGTGGAATACAAAGTACATTCCTGGGCGGCCTTGAAGGTCGTGAAGGAACGCTAGTAAATCGCAACCAGTCAGAAATCTGAGTAGCAATAATGCACCGTGCACACTCACAGCATGGTACGACGACCCCTCCAACCAATGTCTTGTACACTGTCTCATCAGGTGTCGATGTTTCCTGTGGTGATGCCGTGGCGGTTGTCGAGGGTGGTGATCGGTAAGCAGGCCGGTGAGAGTTTGATGCGTATGCTGGGTAATCGAGCGATGGACGCCTGGTCATTTTCTGGGCATCCGCTCGATAGTCTTCTGGTGGGTTGAGAGACCGAACGACAAAGGAGCGATCTGTCTCACCGTCTTCGGCACGAAGACTCGCATGGCATATGAATGCAGTGCCATTTTCGTAGCTAAATGAATTGGCATTAGACGCCAAGTTCCGAACACAGCAATCAAATGACGCCAAGCTGACTTACTCAACACCAACCGGCACACCGCCTCTGCTCTGAATGAGTTCTAATATTGGTGGAGGGTCACTGAATGCAAGGGCACAAAACCAAAACAATGAGCAGGAGGCCTAGGAATCACGTTGACTTTCAAGATAAAATTTAGGAACGTACATTAATCGACGCTCCAAAGTTTTCGCAAATCCGCACATTCGTGCTCGAATAGGTTGCTGACGCACAATCAGTTCATATGTCCAGTCATCATCTTGGTGTAGCCCCACGCGATTCTCCATCCTGTGAAATGCATATGAATCATTTAGCATATTCCAATTGCACTCGTTGTTTGCAGTCTCAGCGCGCGAAAAGGCATATTTCGTACTCTCTGCACCATGACTGCCAAACACGATCAAAAACATGATACAAGAGGTCTCACCGCACTGTGGAGCCCACTGGCGGAGACGTAGCTTGCACACCGGACGAAAGCATTTCCATGGACTGACGAACCATGATAGGAACCTGCATAGAAAAACGACCAGCCAAAAGAAACCTCCACAGACGGGGGGTCAGGGCGATACGCTTGTCTTTAAGTAGCCTCGTCAAAGCACATGTTCCAAAAACGGGCCCAACATAAAGCTCCGCATTTTCTTGACGCCAATGACAAACGCCCGTAACCGAGGCCTTTGACAAAAACATTGCAAGTCCAAGGCTTTTTCGTAGGACGGGGTCCAGCCCCCATCGAGCTTCCAGAGGATGTAAGCCGGCTCAACTCCGGTGGTCATCCAATGGTTCCAGACGAGAGAATAGCGCCACGAATCATCCGCTTAACTAATATATTTAATTTTGTCATGATCCTAAATCGGTAGTGGTCCCTTTGGATCCTAGTGAGCGGGAAGTCGTGGTTCGCTTGGATCCTCTGGCGTGACCGAAGGCCTGGATGGGCCCGGGCCCCGACCTCGGCTCATGGTGATGTACTATTTGTTTTTCTATGCGGCGCTTTGCTTTGGGACGCTGGCGGCCGATCCCCTCCGGCCAAACACCGACAGTGCGGCGATTTAGAAAACGACGAACAATATAATAAACCTCCGCGGAATTGGTTTTGGGGATGGACAATCGGGAGGGATACAATCACATTGTCACCACGAGAACGATTTCCGTTACCTCCAATCTGGATTAGAGTTGTGCCCCACACGATGGCTCCGATTCACGGAGCATTTTCTTTATGCAAAGGATCGGATCGAGCGATTTACAAACACAGTAAAACATTCACGATTTTGGACAAAGATCATCGGGAGATTGGTATTTAATGCTTAGGACTATCGGAAATGTAAGCTGACTGTACAGCTAATAAACATACTTTTGTACGCAGTCTGGTAACAACTGGATGTTGCAAAGACTTAGAGTATGAAAATGATATTGTTATAAACTACGCACAAACTCATGAACAACCCATAAACATACTCTTCTGGATGTGGGGATGGGGGAACCCTGGACCCTAAACCACATTCGTGGTCCATGGTTGAGTCCAGGTTGTAATGTGGTTAACTTTTGAATGCACGCGGCACGTGATAATGCAGATTGGCTCACGGACACTCATCAGCGATTCTTGCAGAAGAAAAGGACATGATGTGCAGCACAAGAACAAATGTCCATGTGCCAAAAATGCTCTTGTTGATCACACTTTATGCAGGTGCTCGTCGGCATAAAGTGATATGAAAGCATCGATCAAATGACAATGTGAGAAAGCAGACAAACTTGTGATCCACAGAAGTATTCCCACTAAGATATCTCGTCAGTGCCGATTGGCAGGCATATCACCCAGTGCCAACTCTGCATCACCTCGGCCCCAACTGGAAAGATCTAGTGCACCTTTTACCAGATGGAACGCGAGAAGATTGGCAAGATGATGCTCCTCTCACCCGACACTATTTATGCTTGTCCCATCACTTTATTAAAAAGATATGAAGATTGGAGAATGCTGAACATTACAAGTTGTCACCTGAAAGGATTGAATGGTTTTGATAACATTGAACCTGCTGAAAAAGAGAGTAGAAGAATTGAAAATTAATAATGGAGATGAGTTGTACATCGCATGTATGCCTAAATCCAAGCAATCTCCGTAGCATCAACTGGGCATGAAATTCCACGCATGAAAGAACTTGCCATGCAATTCAATATGTCTGCACATACACCACTCTATGCTCAATGTATGCAGATACACCACCGTAAATGCTCTTTTAGTTTGACTTTCTCTGAACCCGCGTAATTTGCTACAATCCACTTTCATGTGTGCGGCACTCGTACTGCTGCTGCAACTCGCATTCAGTGCGTGGGCGTTTGCTCTACACAAGCGATGCTCACTGCATTCTTGTTGCGTAGATCCCAATAAGCGTATACTTGAGGGTCATAAACAATAAAGTTGACATCCTCAGCTTCCAACAAACACTATATAGTCTTGTAAACAAAGTCCAAAAAGACTTTGAATGCCGCACGACGCGCCACAACTCGAGCGAACGCGTCTGGAAGGCGAGGGTTTCGCTCTTGTTTAAAATCTCTAGAGCTTTTCGTTCTTCCTCCTCCTTCTTTCAAGTATTGCACTTTATCGCTAGTTTCGCAACCTTTCAAAAATGAAGAAATCTCCTACTCTAGGTAATTACTTTATATCGCTAAAGAATAAATGCATACGTTTGCTTATTCTGTTAATTTGTTTGCAAGATTTGAGCGAAACTAATATTGCCGGTCTCGGAACCGAGGTACTTTTTTCTTTGGTGCCATGACGAGCGCTAACAAGAAATAGACTAATTAATGTGTTCATTAAAGCTCGAAAAGAAGGTCCGTCTTGAAGCAGCTCAAACGGAAAAGGCTTGGGAAGGCGCTGGCAAGAAGCCGTACGTTGACTATTTCATCTTTTGTGATTGAACATGCTCTAATGTTCCGTTATTACTCTACATTTTAGTGGCCTCAAAGTTTGGAGAATTGAGCAATTCAAAGTTGTCCCTTGGCCTGAGACTGATTATGGAAAATTTCACACTGGTATGTCCATTGTTCCAAATTATGAAATCCTCATCTACCAACCTCAAGTGTTTTGTTCCAGGTGATTCGTACATTGTGTTGAATGTAAGTGCAGGCCGCCCATAGCGCTGCTTCTCATATCCTTAGATGCAAGTACTCATATGATATGCAATAGACCTACAAGCTCCCCAATTCTGATGCACTGCGGCACGACATCCACTTTTGGTTAGGACTCGAAACCACCCAAGTAAGTCGAGCCTTATATGCAAGTAGCACCTATAAATGTCTCATGGTAAAATCAAAGGATGAAGCCGGGACTGCTGCATACAAGACCGTTGAGCTTGATGATTGTGCGTACGACATTTCATTGCCGCATGCACTGTCTTTAGCTCACATTACCTCTTTGCAGATTTGGGAACAACGCCTGTCCAGCACCGCGAGGTTGGGAGTTGTAGAAATCAAATTTCTTTTTCCATTGTATCTCTTGCTGATCCTTTCTCAGATCCAAGGCTTTGAATCTCTGTTGTTTCTGTCCTACTTCAAGGTAAAGCTTGCACCGAAATGTCCTTTATCACAAATCAAAACATTCATCAACTCATGTCCCATCATAGGTCTTCCAGATTCTGGAAGGCGGCACAGAAACTGGTTTCCGCCATGTCGAGACAAATGCCCAATCGTTCCAGCCTCGTCTGCTGCACATCTACTCGATTCCCCCCACCGTTCCTCGTCTTCCAAAGACCAGGCCTATCCACACGCTGCTCGTTAAGCAGGTGCCGGTCTCAATGAACAGCCTGAACTCTGGGGACGTCTTTGTTCTTGATCTCGGCAAAGAGATTCTTCAGTGGAATGGCTCGAAGGCTAGTGGTGTAGAGAGGAACAAGGCTGCAGAGTATGTGCGCAAATTGGACGACGAGAGGAAGGATGCCAAGGTGTCTGTCTTTGGTGAGTTTGAGATCATAATTAAAACTTTAAAACGCGCGGAAACAGTCAGACCGTCCTTGCTGACTCTACAACTGATAGACGAGACCGATGCTGATGTCAACATCTTCTACGGGCATCTGGGTGGAAAGACTGGTCCGATTGCGTCCGCTGCAGAAGGCGAGACGCGCACATTGAGTAGCATTTCATCATTTGAAAAGCTCCTCTTCAGGCTCTCTAATGCGAGCGGACCACTCGAGTTTACTCAAGAAGCCAAAGGCAATGTGAGCAAGAGCCAGCTGAAATCAGATGATGTCTTTGTGTTTGATTGTGGACCAGAGGGTGGGTGCGCGCCAGACTATTTCATCTTGTTTTTATCTAACGCAAGGTTACGCTGTCTCCTTAGTCTTTGTTTGGGTGGGCAAAGGAGCCGACAAGGAAGAACGTCGTCGCTCAATGCAATATGCTCTGGTGAGTATAGAATCTTTAGGGCTCATTTTTTTTGTCTTCTCACCTTCCTTTCTCATGCAAACGCCTGTTGTTTTTAGGAATATATCAAAAAGTATGAGCGTCCTGCGACGCTGCCCGTCACACGCCTCTTGGACGGAAGCGAAAACCAAGTGTTTTGGGATGCCTTTGATGCCTAGAGAGACTATTACTCTTGCTAGAACCTAGGGTATCATAAAATTTATACCATCGTCAGCGCCGAATATCACATGGCGCTAAATTACAAAGAATTCAGTAAAAGCGTAGGTTATAGCAACCAGATTAGCAATTATAAAAGACAGAAAAGATGGAATAGGCACTCTAGTATTGTTAAGTAACACATTTACTTCTTATTATCCACGGTTTCTATCATGCTTTGTCGGTGTATTCTACTACTGAAATCGGCATGTCGGCAATGAGCAAAAGTATTCAACCAATAGGCTTATTTGTGTTGCATTTCTTGCAGTGAGAAGCAGACCCAACGTGCCACTCAACTGCTATATCCCAAGTATGGTTTAACGAGTTGGAAATTCTAACGTTCTTTAAAATTTCAAAAACTCCTGCATCGCCATAGTATGCTACAGCCTATTAATCGGACCCTAAAGTATTCCGACCAGATACCGTCGACCACTACACTCCCAAACCCTTCCAAAAAACTAAGAGAAAATAATATACAGTAAAGAAAAAACGTACACAGCAACAGAACCTCCATCTACATTTCCCCATCCCCATTCTCTGGTGCATCGGCATCGTCCTCGGAATCTGCCTCTGATTCAGCGCCCACAGCATCACCAGTGTCATCTAATTCCAGCACCACCAAACTTTCATCGTCATCAAAAACAAGATCAACACCTGAGAACTCTTGTCGTAAAGAGACAACATCGTCCATGGGAAGCCCGCATCCGACAATTTCGACAACGCGCAGCGTCTTCAATGTACTCAAGAGTACCTGCACCGTTTGCTTTTGCGCAATGGTAACCTCACATAGGTTAAGGACCTCCAAGACCGATAACTTTGGAACAACAGAGGACAGAGATCGTTTATCTATCATGCTGCCGGCGCTTGATTCGGTGCGAATGTGATCCTCGTGTACCACTTCTTCAGTAGCAGCCAACGCTCTAATACCATCATCGCCAATATCACAACCTTCCAAATACAGCTTCCAGAGGTTTGGAAAGAGTGAAACAATGAGGGTTATCGACGATGAGTGCAACACCGTCCGGTTCAGACAGAGCACTTCCAAATTCGGGAACTTGCGGGCCGAGGGTTTTAAAGAGAGATGTGAACGGTCATTCACCAAGGACAACGTTGTATCTGTAGTAACCGCGGCATCGTCATACGACGAAAGAACTTGCACCGATTCGCTCCGTTCACTGATTGTCGTGTCGCACCTGATACTTTCGGGAGTCAGTTCCTGCGTGCCACAGCCTTTAGTGCCCGCAGCCAGTTCCTCGATCCAAGTATCGGTGATCCTGTCCGAGTATCCAACTACTAGGTCTTCCAGCTTAGGTAGGCGCTGGAGCGCTAGCACAATGCTATCGTTTTCTATTTCTGGACATTGCCCCATGCGTAAACATCTTACATGGGGACAATGCTCCACCAGAACTTTGACAGCTTCATGATCCAGCTGTGTTGTGTCCTGAATTCAATGCAGGTGAGCGCTATGATCGTTCAAAACAGTAATGTGCATCAACCTACCATGTATATTTCTCTCAATAATTGGCATTTCTGAAAAAGGAAGGATAACCCTCTCGTGGTGGCGTTTCTGCATCCACTGAGTGACACAGTACGTAGACTTTCCCAATGCCGTTCCGCCAAAATCGATACAACTGAATCATTTAAACCAATACAATCTTCCAAAAGCAATTCTTGGAAAGGTGGACAATTTTTGACGACTTCCACAAATTCCTCTGGTCCAGCGTCGTCACATAACCCCATGCCGAACGCTTGAAGGCGAGGTGTGTGATGCGCAATCGTCCGAATGGAACGAGAAGTGATACCTTGACTTCGGTCACTCTATGTTGAAAGCATTAGCCATTGACGGACATTCTATCGTCAGGTACCAAGCCCGTCACGTACCGTCCCACTAAGATAAAGACCTTCCAATCCTGAATTCTCCATGATCAAGCCGTCCAAATGATCATCCAAATCCCTAAATTTTATTCCCATCAATCCCAACCCCCTCCATCGCATGCGTCGGCGGAGAACAGGCATGATTTCCGCCGTTACCTCTTCACAAAAGTTCTAATGGTAGCCATCAAATCGTTTTAGTGCAAATGTCATTTGAGCACACCACATCGGCACACACCACAAACAGATACTCCAACCGTTGCAGTCTATCTACAATCATTTCCACTGCACTGTCGGTCACAGAAGTTCCACTGACATCCAGCCATTGCACGTTGGGACAGTTTTCGCATAACATTTGAATATGCTTATCAGTGATGGGCAAGTGCCGAAAGTCGCATTCCGCTACAAGGTGGCCGTAGGTTATGCTGGATATGGACAGAATGAATTCGAGTGAACCTATGGGGACTTGGAGGAGCGTCCCGTATAAGAGCCAACTCGCGACGCTGTGCCAGTACCGGGAAACGAGTTGGCAAGACGAAAGGTCTTGATAGTCCACAAAAAGCCTACAAAGTCAAAACCGCTGGTCAACACTTGCCAGACAAATGTCTGCTGAATATTTGACTTTTAAGTGCTCACAAGACCATTTCGAGTAACTCTGGTGGTAGCAAACGAGGGCCCCGAGTCCTGCCACATCTTATGCCTTCTAACACCGCCGACGCATGCTCTTCTCCGACCTTGGTGGGCTCATTTTCCCGGTTCTTCTTGCCAGAGACTGGTCCGCAAGAACTCGCAATTGGGGTCCGTCGAGGTAGAAAGGCTGCTGAGAGTACTCGCCGAGGTTTAGCTGTTATCGCAGTTGCGGGAACTTCTCGTGGTGGAGTGACGGAGCTTGTAGGGAAGATTAGGCGACAGAACAACAGATAGGAGAGCCAGCCAAGAAAGACAAGTACAAATGCGTCCCGAAGGTCTTGAAAATGCAGCATGGGAAGTGTAAAACCAAAAAGCCCTTGGGCAGGACATGCTTCATGGGCGTGACAGGCCAAACACATGGTTCGACCCCGATATCGTGCTGGTCGCGCACATTCAAAAGGACCCAAACCTCCTTTTACGTTACGCACTTGCAACAGCGAGCATCTCATAAAATAACTAGAATTCTTAATCTAAATGAAGTACACAAGTACAGAAAATAACACACGAATTGCATGCAAAACACACATAATTGCCACTGCAACCTCTTCTCTCAGTATCCACCTCTGTCCCGACCGTGCCAGCGCTGGTACAGAAGCGGTCTTGTTCAAGAATCTTGACTCTTTCTAGTCGTCCACGATTGATCAATCAGAACTTCGAGCAATCCCGAACGGATCAAGAAAAGGAGCAATTCTCTGAGCCTTATCCGTGTGGCATCTACAAAATAGTGCACTTATTCTTCTTCTTCTTCCTTCCTGATGGAGAGTTCCTCGATGTACCCCTCGCATCATTCTCACGGTTAAACCGCCGAATCTGACGGGTATTGACGTATCAGCACCAGAGAATGATAAATGTGATGACAAGTGGCAGCTCCAAATGTGCTAACCTCACGAACGAGACTGTAAAACGCCTCATCAACGTTGATTTTTTGCTTTGCCGAAGTTTCCACAAATTTACAACCAAAGCTTCTCGCCAGATCTCGACCCTCCTGTGTGCTAACCACACGCTCGCTCTCCAAATCACATTTGTTGGCAACAATGATGATCGGATAGTAATCTTTGTCTTTCACCCGAAGGATTTGCTGATAAAAGGTTGATATTTCTTCAAAAGAGTTACGTGAGGTGATCGAGTATACGCATAGAAAGCCTTCTCCTGTTCGCATATACTGTTGGCATGACACATTCCCAAATTAGCCACTTCTTTCAAGATGTGGATGCGCCTTCGATACCCGAGGCATCATAATAGTCGCTCACCTGTTCTAAAACGACAAATATATCCATTTGAGTACGAATCGCAGAAATAGGATTGTGCAGGTGACCTACCTCGCATCGCGCTATATTCCTCTTGCCCAGCGGTGTCCAGCACATCCAGCAGGGCCACTTCTTCATCCACGACGCACTGCTTCCTGTATGAGTCCTCTATTGTTGGGTCATATCTACGTTGGGCAATGAGGGATCTCGCGATTAGAACTGGGGCTTCATGGCCGTCCTAACGCCATCTCCATCGCTCGACTTACTCGTCCACAAAATGTGATTGTATGAACTGTATAGTTAAAGCGGACTTTCCAACACCACCTCCACCAACCACAACGAGCTATTTACGTCACATGGGCATGGGAGATGAGATGAAGGTCAGTCGCGATGTTGCACCATGAATTAGGCCCCGACCCAGCCGTCAGAATTTGCAAGTGTCTTGAACAAACTGCTTTCTCTGGCATTGAACCTCACCTTGTACTCGCGGAGGAATTGTGATGACTTTGACATTGAGGCTCAATTTGATGCAATTTGATGATGCCACTTTTTGCAGAGTCAGAACTGGAACGGGTTGCCGTTGATAAAACTGAGAATCTCACCAAAAAAGCCGATGATCTCCGGGGACACGATCAACTGTAGTTACAATAGGCAATTGATGCGTTGCCGTACTTGTGCAGTCGCCCCGCAAGTCTCACCCGGCTGGCACGATTTGGGTTCACGATAGCACCAGCTGGTCAAACTCAACGCTCGGCGGCCGCTCGTGACCATAAACGGAATTTGACCACAAGTGATCACGTTACACAATCCCGCTGGCCAGCGCTTTTTGGCCAAAATGCTTTTAAAGAATGGAATTTCAGATTTGGACATGATTGGGTGGCATTTGGAGGGTTACATGAAGGGATCTGCCCCCATCCCCAAGGTTAAGCTAGAGTTACGAGCAAACCAAAAAAAAAAAAGAACAAGGCATTGCTGTAATTCTCAAGCCAACATTTGGCGCAATTTGCTCTCCCATTTCGGCCTGAAAGAGGAAAACAAGCACGAATTGGCCTTGCTGGTTGTCTTGTATATATTCATGCCAGGAACCCGGATCTACGGCCATTTGTTATGCAAAAACTTTGAAGATAACAAAACAGCCTCATAGATAAATGTGTGAAGTTAACGGGACCCAACCACGACTGACGACGCAGCAAGTTCTTGGACTTCAGCAAATGGCTCTTCCCTTCCGTCCACAGAGTAGCCGCTTGGAAAACAAGGAGACGGCAACCGTTCAAAAGACGGAAGGGTTGATTTCATTCAAAGAGTTCCTGGCAGGATGCAAGTCCGACGATGTATTTATAGTACTGTGATGTGGCGCAGCCGCAGAAAATATGGCGCAGTGAAAGCCAGGGTCAACCCGCGCTATACTCAACTGTAATGACTTTGTCTATCATGTTCAAAGTTACAATTTAAATACCCATTCACCAAGATCTTTTGCTACAGCTCTATCGGTCATTAATGACATTTCCGCTGCGCGCATACCAGCCCCGGCAAACCTACGCAGATCTTCCACTGCAGGTTCACCCGATTTCAGTGAATAATGGCGGGACAGGCCTGTCACCAGTGTTCCAACCATGCTACAAAGAGACATTAATTTGCAATCAACCATATATGACAATGAGGATGTATGTTACCTGTCTCCTGCGCCAGTGACGCTGATACAATCATTATAAATTTGTGTCGGCGCAAGGGTTGCGGATATTGAACCATCTCTTGCAATCAAAACACCCTCACGCCCGCGTTTGACAATGATCGTAGGTATCACTTTACCGACAACGGTAATGTTTGACTGAAGATTGTTCTGCCCCCACATCAATCCTCTGCCTCTGCGCAAACGAGCCGCATCGTCCTCCTGGTTAGGCAGGCCTTGGAGAGCAGTTGCGTTAATCGCAGACAGGAGCAATAAGTTCTTAGTTGTCTCACCATTGCATGGATCATTAGCAGACTGGTATCCCCAGGCCATTGCGCTGAGTTCGCCTTCATTTGGGGTGGCGTATCTAATACTAGCTTTCAACAAGTTGTGGTCGAGATTGAATAATCTGAAAGCCTTTATCTCTGATGTTGGTTCAAATAGAACTTGAAGGTTGTTATTACTCATGGGCTCTGTTGGATCATCTTATCACATCTGCAGCAACGCACCTGGAATGTTATTCTCTGCACAAGTTTCCAAAATCCGTTGTGTGCAACGACGGCTCAAGTTTCCGTCAATTGATACAAAGGGTGGTAAGTTCCTCTTGATGATTGTAGAGACCTAAGAGCGCCGACACAAAGCTCAGCATGCAAACCAGGATCTCTCAATGGCGACACGGACCTCCTCTCCATCAATTTCTGCGTGCATGCGCATGTCAGCCACCGCAACTAGCATGTCCCCGTCGGATTTGAGAAACGCATTGTAAGTCGCTGTCTGATGACCTACAATCCTTTTTATCCCAGATACATCCTGCGCATGGGCCTTAAGACGTTGACATCTTTCAGATACACATGATCGCGTACGTACCATTCCTGCGCCAGCCATCTCTTGAATCAAGCCGTCTCCCGCCACATCGTCCCCGACAGCACTAACAAAATATGGATCTCCGCCTGTGCGATAACATGCTTCCGCCATGTTCCGGCCCACCCCACCCATCGACTGTTTACAAGTACCGGGATGCGATGTTCCTAATGATGGCATCCCGTTGCATTCGGGGCCATCGTCAAACCGGGCCGATACATCGAGAACAGTGCCTCCTATTATCATAGGTCGCGAAGCCGCGGCTGATGACTCTGACGAATTGATTATAGCCCCATTACACTGAGCCGCAAATGAAGCAGCTATACGGCTGCCAATACGGGCATTGTTCTTAACTAAGGCAATATCTATAAACAGATGCGTGAGCAACGGGTGCTCTGTGCCAAAACACTGAGTCGGTGTAACAAGCTTACTGGATTTCAAAGATTCCCCCTGTGTAATCTGCTTTACCCGATCAAGAAGAAAGGGCGTTATGTCTTTGCCTTTAATGCCCTTTGTACTGTAACATATTGAAGACTCAAAGGGTGATGTTCTTTCACAACGGCAGCATATGTCACCCACTTTGCCTCGCTGACAGCGTCCAAAACCGCCTTTTCAATCCTCCACGCGTCCTTTGGCGCATCTTCACTTGGGATCGGTACAGCTATAACCATGCCGCTTTGCAATTGAATATCATTGTTCGCCTCTGTGATACGATACCAGGTTCAAATCTTGGCTCATCATCCAGCACAGTTATACAAGTTACTCACTAATTAGCGACGCACATGCGTCAGGAGTCTTAAGGTGGGCGATGCTCTATACCAAAGAGATTAATTCCTCCGTTTATCCAACTAAATCGCTAATCAACTGATCTCACCCTGTAACCGGATTTCGGAGTGTAAAAGGCTGGAAACTCATCGCTATCTCCATAGCTAACGACCGTTACCCCTTGAGTTTCCTGGGGTGTATCAAGTTTAATTGGTCTATGGAATCACACTGACGACCAAGCTCGAACGTAGTGACATACCAGGAACTCTAAGGTTCGCTCAATATCCAAGATCGACTTTGCACCGGCACATATTACAGCAACCGGCGTCCTTCCAAGTTCGGTCAGATCAGCACTGACATCCATCGCTGACGGGTCATTAAAGATCAACTATGAAGACTTTCAAAAGGAACAACTCTAGAACGTACAATCTTCGCCACCTCGGTGAACTCCACCAATTCCCCCAGTCACGAACACCTTGATTCCTGCCTGGTGCGCAATCAGCATAGTACCAGACACTGTGGTAGCTCCTACGACTCCCTTGATAGGAATGTCAATTGTCGTCTAGGCCGATGATAAGCAAATATATGCCTTCTTACCTGGGAAACAACTAGAGCTAAATCTCGTCGAGAAGTCTTTCGTGCTTTGAGACCAGTTCGAGCAAGCTTTTCTAAATCATCCTTGGAGAGCCCTACATGCAAGAAAACAAACATTCAGAAGCTGTTCCAAGCGACTGTGCAGGAAGTCGAAACATACCAACTTTGATGCGTCCATCAAGGACAGCAATAGTTGCAGGCACACAGCCTTCCTCCCGCACAATTCTCTCCACTGCCAAAGCAGTATCTAGATTTTGCGGATAGGGCATTCCTACTCATGAATTAGGCATGAGTGGGAACTACCTGTATTTGAAGGATAACGTCCGTCGCCCCACCATGACTTATTATTGTAGACTCTAATGCAACTACCGGCCTTTTTGCCCGCAATGCTTCGCGTACTTCTGGGTGAATGTCATACACATGCGACGTTGCTGGCGCCCTTAGGCGGGTCGAAAATAGTCGACGATCGCGGCATAATGATGAAATGGACACCTGATCGCGATAATCCACATATCAGTTTGGGTTTTCTTGCTTGCTTCCTCAATAAGACTGCACGGGAATGCTCACGGGGAGTCGACAATGCCGGTAGATCATCGTCGATGCGTCGTAGTAAACTTGAAGCTCCCCCCGCAAGTGGCACAGCCCTTGGTTGTGCAGATGACGTAATAGTGCTGGAAGTGTGACTTGCGTCTGATTCCTCGCAATCAACTTGTCATCTACAATTGTGTAGGAATCAAGCACTTTATTTCATTCCTTCAAAACTGGAAAGCTGGCGAACCTTACCAGACTCTTACTTGTTATCCTTTTGACGCTTCCCGCTTTCGCTTATTACCCTCTCGAATTCCCAATAGTTTCGTGGTCCAAAATGGCTTCAGAGACTTCCGCCCAGGACTTGGCCATTCTCTCTACTGAGTTCAAAGCTCTTCGTGACCGCAAGGGACACTTTAATGGAGGCGAGCATGACAAGGACGTGGACGGTTATGGTGGGAAAAAGCACAAAACGATGGAAGCTCTTGCAAAGGCTTTGGGAAACAAAGGAACGCCTGCCACTAAAGTACTGGAAGCTATGGGACCTCCTGATGAGATCGTACCCAAGGTGGGTGCTTCCAATGTGGGCCCACTTCAAGCCGCTGGTCCGGGTGCAATTACTGGTGGAATGCCGGGTCCTGTTATTGCCGGAGGATCTCCCAACGCTCTTGGAGCAGCTGAGGGTAAGCCATACTTTTTGATATACTACTGGCGCGGACGGCATGATTACCTGTAAGTACCGCTGCTGATGCTTGTGAAAGCTAATAAGCTATTGACGATGGACTTTTATTCGTAGATGGTTTGAGGTGGACCCTTCTGGTGATGAAAAGATAAATGACTACGGCTGGTATGCTGCTGGTGAATAGATGATAAGCGGCCGGAGACTCCTGGAATATCATACAGCGTTGTACTTAAGGCTACCTTCAATCTATCACCAACTTTATAAATAATTTACGCCGCAGAATAATAGCATTTATATGCATAGATCAAATCTGAACCACACTATACTATGAGGTAATGTTTCCAGCACGTTCTCTGTAGGTTTTCTCATTGGCATCCGCCCGCAGCAAACATCAGGGTACCTTAGGTTCTGCTCAAGGCATCTTTCCCACCCCAACGCCCTTCCACAGCGCCGCCCAGACCTGCGAGTCTGTCAGCATACCGCCGACCTATGACCCAAGCACTCGCTAACGGGCCCCTCGTCTCAACCTCCACTTCCAGTACCACGGCAGGGTTCGCACCTTCCTCTGTAGCATCCTCCACCGAGAGCACATGTTTCACGATCACTGTTGTGTTAAACACTTTGAATTCGTCCTTTATAAAATATGACTTGTTCCGGCCTGGCTGCTCGTCTTCACCAAACTTTCGCACTACTACAACTCTTGGCCCCTGAGACTGCCTCGATCGTCGTTTGCGAATGAATCGTGTGATGCCTGAACCTCTGCTAATAACTTCCACGCCAAATTCTGGTTGCCGGGTTGCTTCATAGTACGTCTCAGGGTCAACAAGCTCAGCAAACACACGTTCTGCATGATCTTGTGCACGAACTTTGTTCGCAGCCTCCAAAAGGGCGCTGGTGGATTGATCGACAAAGCTCCAGGAAGCACTGAGAGGGGCGACCGGCTCAACCGGTGGCGGGGGAGGTGTTTCAAGCTTCCGTTTAGTTACGGGGAAAGTATGTGATTGTTCCAAAGGACCGAATACAAGAAGGGCTACTGTTGCAACACCTGCAGCAGTCGCTGTTATCGCAACCGAAGAATACGCCATGATCGCAATGTTGTTCGTTGTAGATTGGGCCGTGGTGAGAATAGAATGACATGGAGAGGTTACACTCATTGTTGCCACGACAACAGGAATGATAAATGAAATACCAAGACCTGCAATTAGGGTGATGTCGATTTCATTTAACCAAAATCTGCCTTGCTCACATTTAAGGCTGCCCTGAAATGACAAATGAGTGGGATGAGTGGCTTACCGCCAGCCTTATGGACCTCAGCATCAACGATGAAGTGAGGAAGCTGTATATCAGATCAATGAACTGAAGGACACCGATTTGAGACTTGCCTTATATTTGCAGACGTTTTCAGAATATATAACACAACTCTGTTCAGAGGTGCGACAAGGGACCTGAGAACCATCTTTTAAATGACGCTAACGTCGATACTGCATAAGGAGACCATGGAGGATGGCGAACGGCGGGAGGTGATTGTAGAGTTTTTGTCGGAGGCAACCGTAAGTGTACCACTGAGCCCTTGAGTACACATTAAACCACTGAAAAAGAATTTACTTCGATACCTTCAGGACCAACCGGTAGAGCAGCTTGTAGACGAGATGTTGCGGCGCAATGCAGAGTGGCGAGAAAAAGCAAGGCGACAGGAAGAAGAGATGAAACAAAAGGCACTGGAGGCGGTAAAACGTATGTGGGCCACTGCTTAAAACGAACGTAGTGTACGCTTGGCTGATACGCACTTACCCAGTACAAGAGCGGGAAGCGCTTCAAGCGACCATATCGCAGCAAGAAATCAAACCTGCCAAAAAACAATTGAGCAAGGAAGAGAAACAAGCTCGGGAGCGTCTATTAGCACAGGTAAATGCTACGCCGCTTTGTGTTGACGGTAGTGCTTCAAGTAATGAGATAGTGCATGGCTTCTTCGGGTATAGTATGGATACGATCTAGACGAAGTGGTGGAGACAGCGGACGGCGAGGTGGAGTTCATTTATAAAGGCAAGAAGGATGATAAGAAGAGTTCATCCGACGAAGGTAAGCTGTTGGCTGTCCATGGGCGTGATCATTCATAGGTTGTTCAACATGCACCTCTTTTAGTATTGCTACCAAAGAACCGTAATGCCGAGTAAGTTGGCGCCGTTGCCATTCAAAAATCTGGACTTTAACATTTGTTATTGCCTCAGAATCGTGAAGCAAGCGGAGCAGGCAAAGAGATTACAAGCGCAGGCAGAGCATCAGAAGCAGGTTCAAAGAAATAAGGAGCTTCAAGAAAAGCAGCGCCTGGAAAAGGAGAAGGAAAAGCGACGAACAATGAAGAAGGAAAAGCGTCGCATGTAAATATAACAAAAACCTATTATAGTTTAGATGTAATATAATTAAGCATGTATTTGAATATCCATATGCGCCTACTACCATGGCACTGCATCAAAAACAATCCGTCAGCAAATAGATACCTGGGGACACGGGCGGGGACATGCTTGCATCATCCATTACGGCATCCAAGATGTCAATTGTCATGGATTCGTCCGGGAACGCGTTCGAACAGACGATCTCGCTGGGCACAATGGACGAAGCACAGGATTCCCTTCCTGGGTCTCCATTCTTTGGCTTCTCTGAATGTCCAAACATTATGGATGAGGAAGCCCCTCCCGGTTGCTATGAGGTTGAAGACGATGAGGACTTCTTTCTGAGCGATATGCCTTTCCATGATGTGGAGGAAGTCGAACCGAGGAAAGTAGTGCCACGGCCGCATATACAAGAGGAAAATGGCGACGATCAGAAGTCAGAGGGGTCGGTGTACGATACAGTGGATGGGTTGGATGCTAGGTCAGTCGTATCAGAATATGTGCCCGAGGAAGAAGTTTTTGCAAAAGTATCAAATCATGTGGATTCTTTGCCGCGGCCAATACGACCTGAGAATTTTGGTTTCAAGAAGAGAATAGAGTTCATTGTACCGGAAGAGGATGGTGAGGAAGCTTCAACGGATGGCGAAGCCGATGATTGGGTGGTGAAAAGATTGGAAGAGGAGGAGCCACTGAAGGAAGCTTTGGAGAAAGGCTGGGTTCTTGCACCCAATGCGAAGGACGAGCTGCATCGCTATACTGAGGAGCTGCCAAGCGGGCAGGTTGCTTTCACTCAAAAGTCCGAGAAGGTCGAGGCCGACTTTTATGTGTTTCCACCTGATCTTCCAAAAAAGTACAACCTCTATAAAGATCCCAACCCGAAGGACAGGGTAGAGTGGAGAATTGAGAAAGATTCCGACTACTCCGTGGATCCTAATGAATATGGGTTCAGACAATATCGTGAGGTAATGTATGCCAATGTCCTTCTCTCCTGGAATTCGTGAAAGAACAAACATTTCTGGTTCTTACAGGTTATGCAGAGACTCCGCAAGGACAATATCAATTTAAAGATGAGGATTTTTTTCGAAGAGCGCGCTTACAACATAACTCCAACGCAGCTGGCAAATCTAGAAACCAGAGTAAGATTCCAAGTCCCGTGACTTAAAATATGGACCTCACACCCACTATTCCTAATCGCCAGGCATACATGTATCGAAAAATGTACCACGCCTTGATAAGAGAGGTGTGCCGTAGCCTGACTTTTCATATCAATGGTCTACTAATATATAGTTCCTGATTAATAGCGCGATAAGTTCGACTCGGTGAATGAAGGGCTTATAAGGAAGAACAATACCCTTTATGAAGAGCTGCGGCAACATAGAGACGAGTGCGAAGAATCGAAAACGGACTGGGTGAAGGCGAATGAGGAATTGAGAAAGATAAACAGTAGCCTTCAGGAAGAGCTGATCGAACTCAAGAAGGACTATGAACAAAACATCGAAGGACTGCGGCAACGCAGAGACGAGTATGAAGCATCGAAAGCGGATTCGGCGAAGGCGAATGAAGAGTTGAAAAGGATGAACAATAGCCTTCAGGAAGAGCTGAACGAGCTCAAAAAGGAGTATGAAGCATCGAAAACGGATTCGGCGAAGGCGAATAAAGAATTGAAAAGGATGAACAATAGCCTTCAGGAAGAGCTGAACGAGCTCAAAAAGGAGTGTGAAGCATCGAAAACGGATTCGGGGAAGGCGAATAAAGAGTTGAAAAAGATCAACAATAGCCTTCAGGAAGAGCTGAACGAGCTCAAAAAGGAGTATGAAGCATCGAAAACGGATTCGGGGAAGGCGAATAAAGAGTTGAAGAAGATAAACAGTAGCCTTCAGAACGACCTGACCGAACTCAAAAAGGACTATGAACAAAACATTACGCTTTATGAAGAGGAACTGCGGCAGTGTAGAGACGCGTATGAAGAGCTGCAAACGGACTCGGCGAAGGCGAATGAAAAGTTGAAAAAGATGAACAATAGCTTGCAGGGCGACCTGAACGAACTCAGAAAGGAGTATGAAAAAAACGTCACGCTTTATGAAGAAGAACTGCGGCAACGTAGCGACGAGTATGAAAAACTGCAAAAGGACTCCTCAAAGGCGAATGAAGAGTTGAAAAAAATGAACAATAGCCTTCAGAAGGAACTGAGCGAACTCAGAAAAAAGTATGAGAAAAGCAATATGCTTTATGAAGAACTGCGGCAACGTGGAGACCAGTATGAGGCATCGAAAACGGACTCGGCGAAGGCGAATGAAAAGTTGAAGAAGCTGAACAATAGCCTGCAGGACGATCTGAGCAAACTCAAAAAGGAGTATGAAAAAAACGTCACGCTTTATGAAGAAGAACTGCGGCAACGTAGCGACGAGTATGAAAAATTGCAAAAGGACTCGGCGAGGGCGATTGAAAGTTTGAAAAAGATGAACAACCGCCTTCAGGAAGAGCTGAGCGAACTCAAAGGGAAGTATGAACAAACCCATACCCTTTATGACGAACTGCGGCAGCGTAGAGACGAGTATGAGGCATCGAAGACGGATTCCGCAAAAGCGATTGAAAGGTTGAAAAAGATGAACAGTAGCCTTCAGGAAGAGCTGAGCGAACTCAAAGGGAAGCATGAACAAACCAATACCGTTTATGAAGAACTGCGGCAGCGTAGAGACGCGTATGAGGCATCGAAAACGGATTCGGCGAAGACGATTGAAAGTTTGAAAAAGTTGAACAACAGCCTTCAGGAGGAGCTCAGCGAACTCAAAGGGAAGTATGAGCAAATCAACGCCCTTTATGAAGAACTGCAGCAACGTAGAGACGAGGAGGCATCGAAGACGGATTCGGCGAAGGCGATTGAAAGGCTGAAAAAGACGAACAATAGCCTTCAGGAGGAGCTGAGTGAAGTCAAAGGGCAGTATGAACAAACCCATACCCTTTATGAAGAACTGCGGCAACGTAGAGACGAGGAAGCATCGCAAACGGACTCGGCGAAGGCGATTGAAAGGTTGAAAAGGACGAACAATAGCCTTCAGGAGGAGCTGAGTGAAGTCAGAAGGAAGTATCAACAAATCAACACCCTTTATGAAGAACTGCGGCAACGTCGAGACGACGAAGCATCGAAGACGGATTCGGCGAAGGCGAATGAACAGTTGAAAAAGATAAACAATAGCCTTCAGGAAGAGCTGAGCGAACTTAAAATGAAATTTGAACAGAACAATACGCTTTATGAAGAACTGCGGCAGCGTAAACACGAGGAAGCTTCGAAGACGGATTCGGCGAAGGCGAATGAAAGGTTCAAGAAGATAAACAATAGCCTTCAGGAAGAGCTGAGGGAACACAAGAAGGAGTATAAGCAAAACAATGCGCTTTATGAAGTACTTGACCCTGTCCCTACATCCGTAACCGTTAGCGGCGACGTTTCGCACAGCAACCCGTTTCCGGGGAGCTTGGAACTACTCGCTCTCCAGGCAGAACTTGAAATAAAGAACAGCCAACTCGCCGCCGTTCTTGAAAACGACTATGCCCACGTTACCAGTTTACTTCAGCAAATTCAACTAGAAGTGGAAGGATACAAGGAAGAGATTTGGAACTTCCAGACCGCGAATGAAACGACCGCTCAGGACATGATGTACCTGCGCCGTGAGCTTGAGGTTCAAACGCAAACAATATTCGAGTTGGAGGCGAAATGGCGGGATGAGAGTACCGCCAGGCAAGCGAAAGAAGAACAAGAAAAACGGGAGCTGGAAGCTAGGCATCACGAAATATTATTGGAAGAAACTGCAGAATTGAAAGAACGCATCCGTGAATTGCAACGACAAGGAGCGGACGTAGAACTGCTTACGCAAAAAATCCGCGATCTAGAAAAGGACAAGTCAATAAAAGAAGGGGCTCTTGAGGAAGCAAAGTCAACCATCCGTGATTTGCAACAACAGAGAGCGGACGTAGAGCTGCTCCAACAACGACACAGAACGGACGTAGACCTGCTCAAACACAAAATCCGCGATATGGAGAAAGACAAGTCAACCAAAGAAGGAGCCCTTGAGGAAGCAAAGTCAACCATCCGTGAATTGCAAAGACAGAATGCGGACGTAGAACTGCTCAAAAAGAAAATGCGCGATCTAGAGAAGGACAAGTCAATAAAGGAAGGGGCTCTTGAGGAAGCGAAATCAAGCATTCGTGATTTGCAACAACAGAGAGCGGACGTAGAACTGCTCAGACAGCGACAGAGAGCGGACGTAGAACATCTCAAACAAAAAATCCGCGATCTGGAGAAAGACAAGTCAACAAAAGACCGGGCCCTTGAGGAAGCAAAATCAACCATCCGTGAATTGCAACGGCAGAAAGCGGACGTAGAATTGCTCAAACAGAAAATCCGCGATGTAGAGAAAGACAATGCAACAAAAGAACGGGCCCTTGAGGAAGCAAAATCAACCATCCGTGATTTGCAACGACAGAGAGCGGACGTAGAATTGCTCAAACAGAAAATCCGCGATCTAGAGAAAGACAATGCAACAAAAGAACGGGCCCTTGAGGAAGCAAAATCAACCATCCGTGATTTGCAACGACAGAGAGCGGACGTAGAGCAGTTCAAACAAAAAATCCGCGATCTAGAGAAGGACAAGGCAACAAAAGAAGGAGCCCTTGAGCAAGCAAAATCAACCATTCGTGATATGCAGGACGATGCTTCCAGAGACCGAAAATTGTTCAGCGAACAAAAGGAGAGGTTCCTCCGCCATATCAAAGATTGTGAGGCAACGATGCTGACAGTCAGCCAGCAGTTGCAAGTGATATTGACCATGAATAACGTACTCCAAACTATCCCTGGTGTGAAGGTACTCCATTTGCTAGGGTCACGTAGCCATATCATACCCAAGACTAACTCAGAATACCAATGACTTTAGTTTGAAGAAAAGCCATCGAGGAATTTCGAAGACATGAAGACGCAGGTTATTGTTAACATCCAACATGTGAATGCCGTTATGGCGCACTATCGGACAACGTTGCAAAAGATGGAGAAGGATATGATGAAAAACCGCCGGTTGGTTTGCACTAACGCGTGATTGGCATGTAGACATTCAGTATAATAATCTTGCATGTTGCAATGTTTAGAGAATGGGCGGAGAAGTCGGCTTCCAAGGAGGCGCAATTGACACGTCTGGAAGACGCGGCACGCGCTAATAAGGTACTGGCTGCGATACACCCGTTTAAGAATAACTTGGTGCTGACACATCGTGACAACAGGAGAGTACATCTGCTTTAGAGGAGCAGGTACAACGCTTGAAGCTGGAGCACGAGCAGAAAAAGGGCCAACTTGGAGTTACGGATCGGAAGAGACGCGTACGCGTGGACAGTCTCGAGACCAGAGTGCTGGCTGAAGAGGCAAAGGCTGAAAAGGAAACTATATGTTTCTTGCAACGAAGGGTTGAAAAGCTGGAGAATCTCCTACACGAAGCACATGGACAAATTGTGTCAGAACGAGAGAGCGTGCGGATAAGAGTGGATGAAGTGCTGAGGCAGAAACGGTATGTAAAACCCACCATCTTTCGCCATATGATATACATATTGACCCTGTGTTCTCTGAACTGCTTGCAGATCGATGGAGATCTTATATGACAAGATGGAACGGAGAGTGGAATATATGGAAAAATGGAAACAGCGACATAAGAAAATATGTCGGCGGCCAAATTCACCGGACCCCAAAGAAATGGAAGAGGCTTTGATGTAAATATTAGTATACTCTAATTTGTCGGGGAGGAAATTCTACTTTAGGCCCTGTCAAACACTATTGTAAATATTATTGGCAAAATAACAGCCATAAAATGTTCTAACGACCTCCATCAGCACTCGAGCACAACGAGAAGATTTTATGAATATTGCATTGGGAGGATATGAATACGGTTGGGACATGCATACTCTAGCTTCAGATGAAGTATCCGCTTCACTATCTCCTCCCAAGTATCAGAACGTTTTGACTAGCATCCGTAAACAGCTAACCCTCTGCCCAGCTTGGCTACAGCGAGCGAGCTCGTCTCTGCCTAACATCCCCCCATACGCCCTGAACAACACCCCGTGTTTCGTCTTTGAACAGAAATACGTCATCAGAAAACTCGCGCTCATCCACTTCATCCCATCGGAAATCCTGTGTTTGGAAACCTTCTCCCCTCCGCAGCTTTTGTGACAACCGCAAACCATAGTCAACGTCCTCCGCCCTGACGATACGTGTACTGTGAAAGTCGGGTCCATATAATTCCGGGCCCAATTCGTCAATTCCCCTCGCAATGCGCTCCGCCAAATCCTGCCGCATATCACGAAGGGGTTGAGCCGAGGATCCCGCCACCACAGCCATCCAAAGTGGCCGAAGGGATTTGAAGATGTCGGCGCCATGGTCGTAACAATGAATTGTTGCCCAGGTGAGGAGCGGAATGGCGGTCGCAATGACAGCAGTGACTATCAAACTGGGACGACGACCAAGATCAAGAATGAAATATGACACCAGGAATGACGTCAACTATAGAGCTGGCAGGTGAGCCAAGGATAACGGACATGAGGGAAGAGTCTCTTGGTCGATGAAACTTACCGTGTACAAGAACCAGAACACAGGAATCAAGAACACGGCCGTTAGCACCTTCCACGTTGCAACAACGTCTTTGCCCCAAATTTTGACGCTGGACCCTGCCTTTGCCTCTGTAGTAGACGATTGGTTACAGCGAGATCTTTCAAATGCTATTGCCGGTGTTGTACAACTGACTACGGATACTTACCAACCATCTTAGCAGCCGCAACGCGTCTGGCAGTATGCCAGATAGGAGCTGTAAGAACGAGACTACAATAGGGGGTCAGAAACACAGATTCACTTCCCAAAACCTGTGCACCTCATACCCTGGAAGCCCAAAAAATGCGAAAACAAGAAGTTCGATGACACGAGCCAGCAACCGACTCAAAGCCCATAAACGTCCAACAGCTGTTCGCTGGACTTGATGGTCCCGAATGCCGTAATAAGAGAGAAGACGATTATACTCAAGAACGCGACCAGTGAGATCTTGAACGCGTGGGTCATTTCTGTATTTCAGGTAGCCCTGCGAGCCTCAACTGTAAATCACATACTTTAAATCATCTTGCACCGCATGTGGAAGACGTACTTCAGTAAAACGACGAGACAGTAGCAGAGTTTGATCCAGGTTGAGACGCTTGTGCGGGGGTTTGTACAGGCGCCTGGCCGCTTGGATTACCTGCTCAACAAGATCAGTACCAAACGAATGAATACATTCGACAATGGGGAATGAGGGACACACCATCAACGTATCATAATCGGGGGCCGTTGTGGTAATAGCCTTTAGACTTGTGTAAATGGTGTCTAATAGAATCGCACAGGCTGCACGCTTCTCCGGACCGCCTTTGCCATATTGTGCCACTAATTCACTGGGGACCTGGATTGGATCTCCGAATTCGATGACGGCACGAGATCGGAACTACAATTTATCAGTCAGTGACAAATGACGAGATTGCAACCGGAGGCAGCTTTGCAATCCGATCCCTACCTTGTCAGCATGGAAATAATTCAACCCAACGGGTACAATTTGGACGTTGAGGTCAGGATTTTTGTACATTGCTCCGAGGGCCATTATTGTAACACCCGCTTTTAGAGGTAGAAGTTCCGGCCGATCATGAGAACCTCCTTCTGGAAAGATTCCAACACAATCTCCCCTTTCCAATCGCTCCGTTACGGCGTTAAACATATCTGCTTGATCTACATGCGGGATCACTTTATACGACGTCCCGCCCTCCGATGAAAGGAGGGCCACCGCTTCTTTGCCCTCCACCGCACGTTTGATTTTGACTTCCGTGTCTGAAAGAACCTCAACAACTTCAAACGCGCCAGCCTCTTGTGGGAGTTTGATCAACGCCCGGAAGTGGAGCACCCGCGTGAATTCGGCTAAAAGCAAAAGCACCGTTAAAAGAACTAAACTGCTTAACAAATGATAATAGAACAACATACTGTCAATGCCTTTCAAAATCAAGGGATTTTCCGTATCCATGTATATCTTGCCTTTGCCGGCTTTCACCAAATCCTGAGGTCGGACAACTGGGACTATTCCATCATTCATATTAGTCAGAGTTTCATTCTTCGCTTGCATGTGACAGTAGAGTCAAGCTGCACTGTACTCACTCGCTCCCATGATCCGGGCTGGGATGCCAATATGTGGCTTGTCCATGCTCTTCTTCGCGGCCAGAAATCCAACACGGCGTCCACAGTTGGTAAGGAGCATGAGAGGGTCAACAAACTGGTTGGCATGAGGTGCGACGCAAAAAATAACCGGACCGCTGGGTGGAATTTTGTGGGAGCCGCGACTCTTCACCTCCCGAAAGAAACCCCGAAGGGCGAGAGAGAAGAAGGCCACAAGCAACTCGTAAATCGAGAACATGCCTATCCGATCAAAGTTATAATATCCCAAACGTTAGCGGGCCAGTGCTCATCCGTTTCTCGCAGCAAGCCAATGAGGTTCGGGGGAGATGAGAAAATGGGGTGTCAAAGCGGTTAAAACACCGGGCACTTCCGATGCTCTGTGAGTTCTGCGGTTGATATCGTAAGAATCCCCAAAAAGGTTATATTGCAGAATATTCATGCTACACGTGATATCTTCCACGTGACAATAAGTTTTCTTCGCAACGCTGCGGGCAGGCAACGAACTTTTCCTTTTTTTCCTGTCTCGAGCTCGTTAATAACCGAGTCATTACTTGGTTCGAGAACATCCCTTTGATTCAGGTATGTGCCAATGTCGAGGACGAATGCGTGGCGGGGAACGTCATGTCGCGATTTTGCGGGCTTGGAATGACCCAAGAAAGCTGACAAACGTTGTCGATTTAGGTGATCCACAATGCCTCACTCATTCGGTTAGTGGATTGTGTTTTGGCGGAAGAGAGCACGTTTCTGCGTTTATTGGGATGATTTTGGGCGAGGGATTGGAACTGAACTTGGGGAAAATCTTGCTCCAATAGGTCTCAGGGCGCGGACTAGGCACCTTTTCTCTCGGGACTTCCGGGCGAAGGGTCCCGTCAAGTTGTCTACCTATCTTAAGACTTACAAGGTTGGTGACATCGTCGACATCAAGGCGAATGGTGCGATCCACAAGGGTATGCCCCACAAGTTCTACCACGGGTACGAGTTTCCACTTGTTTTCGCAGTTGGAGGAGGGAAGGTGGATGTTCGGTTGTGGCTTACTACTCATTTATAGCAAAACTGGTATCATCTACAATGTTACCAAGAGCTCCGTTGGTATCATTATCAACAAGCAGGTTGGAAACCGCTACATTGAGAAACGTGTCAACATCCGTGTCGAACACATCAAGCACTCCAACTGCCGATTGGATTTCTTGCGTCGGGTTAAGGCTAATGCTGCTGCCAAGAAGGAAGCCAAAGAGAAGGGTGGTATGTGTCGAATTGAAGATGACGGATCGTATTACATTGTGAACCACTCGAATGGATGCTAAGAGGTTTTGCCCCCTAGTCTCTTTCAACTTGAAGCGCCAGCCCGTTGGTCCCACCAAGGCCCACCATGTGTCCACCAAAAACAACCGCCCTACGACCATCAGCCCTGTCCCATACGAAGGTGAGGTGATGACACAGTTCCACGGATCCTCGTATTCGTTACTGACTGTCGGCTGTTTTCTTTTCTTTTGCGCCGTTCTCGTTCCGCTCTGTTAGCTCTTGTGTAATTGTTCACTTTCTAATAAACGCAATTGGGATGTTCTAAACCACCATTTTTTCTATTTCGACTTTCACTGCTAAAAAACTAACTCTAATGCGTATTATAATGTGCTATGCTGAGCTACACGTCCATTGTCCGATCCATTTTTGCGGTCTTTTGAGGACCAGACGAGTCTGTATGAATAGGTAAAAGCGTTTGTCAAACCATCAGATGCGGCAGAGGTAAAGATCTATAGGCACGCTTGCCCAGCATTGTGATCCTAAGCGGACTCCTTCGAAGTGCTGTCTCCACATCAAAGTAGTGACCACCTGCTTCCACCATTCCCAATAGTCGTTCATGCTTCATTAGAGGTCGGATTTCCAGTGATGGACGTCCCTCATCGCTTATCACAAGTTGATCGGTCCAAACGTCACTGAAAGCGACATCCTGTGAGTCCGCGCCTGTGCAACGTCCCCGGGTTATTAGATCCTTGACAGTAGCCCAAAATTTCCCACGTTTAGGCTGCTGCTGCGTGTGCTCGTGCGAGAAGTGGTTCGCGGTGACGTTGCGTAAAGGGTAAGTGGGACTACGTTTGGCTTGTCTCCTTTTAAGATTACTAGGACTTGGCAATGACACAGACGCACGGGATTGAAGACCTTGCACCGAGTTACTTGGAAACCCCAAATCGTCAAAAGCTGCCCCAAATTCGTCTACCATGATCACGTTCCGCGAGGCAAAGAAATCCTCGACGCATTGTGGGTGACTTGAAGAAAAAGGCTCTAACAAGCTGCTTGAAGACCCAACCAGCTTTCCTTGATAACGAGTCCAAAAGTCCTCCATTAAATTCAAAGCTTGTGAGGTTGCTGCCATGCCTTCATTTGTGTGCTGAGCATTGCACGGACTGACACAAGTTTCACAGAGTTCATAACGGGAGACTCGATCGCTTTCCATCAATACCTTGTAACCCACGGTATGGTCATGAAATTGGATTGGGCTATGGGATACCGGGCATAGCAAAGGAGGTAAAGGAAATGAGAACTGTGGGAGAACGCTTATCGGACCGCGGGGGGTAATCGGCACAGACGACCCTGTACTCGCCATTCCGCAAGAATCGATCGTGCATGTATCCACATCTGTAATAGTGGAGGAAGCACTATTGTACTGTAAGTACGCTACACCATACCTCCTCATTGAGGGTTTCAGTGACGGCACATCCAACCTGTTTCCCGCGTAACTGTCGATATCACTTTCAGGTTCTGCCCAGGATCCTATCGCATCGCTCGGTGTCCTAATCATGCCCGTTGCTTCAGTCAAGTAAAGATTAGGAAAAGCACACAAACTAATCCCGTAAGACGATGGGGAGGACAAAAAGCATAAAGCCATCGCACGCTGGGAAGATCGGAGCACTGGGTTGTGTCAGCAGCCTGTCATGGCAACAAGGATCTTGGAAGCTCGCGTTGCTGAATAGGCCTAGTAGGATGCACTATTAGATCTTCCTCCTCTGCCATTTCTTGAAAACGATAAGAATACCTGCACCATTTGCGGCCGGGGAGAGCATGATAGACACCATATAAGCATACTAATGCCAATTGCGAGAAAAGGCGTGAACCTACACTTCACTTTCGTTAGCCAGAGGCTTCGATAGGCGATCTCTGGTTGGGCTTGCTCCTTCCTTGTGCAGACTGAACTAAACAATGTCCGACACGCCACACTCGGGAAGAGGTCGTGGTAGAGGAAGAGGGCGTGGTGTTTCGATGGCTCGCATTCCTAGCAGTGCATCAGACACGACATCCACATCATCTGCCACATTTGCGTCCCCTGTGCTTCCGCCGAGTACGATGGCAGGCTCTCCTGCAGTGCGACCAGCGCCGCTTCTTCGTTCACAGTCTGTACCCCAATATTCCTCCTCCCCACTTGCCGTCGCTGTGTCTCTTCCCAACTCGCCAACCACAGCAACGACTGCCGCCGGAAACGTTTTTCACTACCAGCCCGGTCACCCACAATATCCAACCTACTTGGCGGCTCTGCATTATTACATGAACCAATACAACGTAGCGTCTCCCAACGGGAACCCTGCTGCTACCGGTCTACCAGGAGCAACCCCTTCATCTACTCCCGGCGCCACACCTGTTGCCTCCCCCCAGAATCCTCCCGATTTTCAAAGACAGGCCAGCATATCAAGTGCAGTTCCAGGGTTGGAGAATGCAGCAGGGTCTATAGTGACAGGTGAGCAACTGTTGACAGCAATTATATCCTACTGGTGGGGATAGAGGGCTAACAAAAGGAACCAATTTAGGCGCGGCAAGCACCCAACATAACCGTCAAACTCCCAACACGGCTCGTAACATGCATTCCTCAATCATCTCAAGTCTGTCGGCAAACTTGCAAGCAGCATCCTCTCGACCCCCTATGCTTCCTGGAGCAGCGGGACTATCCACACGACCCACTATGCCCCCTGTTGATCCCAGTACTCTACCAATATTGACGAAAGACAGGATACGGCATATGGTGGCTCAGGTGGATCCATTGCAGAGGTTGGAAAATGATGTCGAAGAGGTGTGACTTCTGCATGCACCTTCAACGTAACTTCCACATCTCATCATCACTCGAATGACAATAGATGATGCTGGAGATTGCCAATGACTTCATTGCACGGGTAACCGAAAAAGCATGCAAGTTGGCACGGCATCGGGGCTCGGATTCAGTCGCCGTGCGGGATGCAAGAATACCACTGGGTATGTACAGGCTCCTGCCTTGTGCTTTATGCATAATGTTACCATCATCGCCACCCCTCTTATACGAGTTTACTTCTAGAACAAGACTGGGGTATTCGCGTTCCGGGCTTTGGCACCGATACACGTGACCGAGATGACAGGGAAGAGCCTTCCGGCGAGAAAGACACACTCACAGATACAGAGAAAACCCGTCAACACATTGCTAGAATGCAAAAAGTGCGGGAAGCAATTCGCGAAGCTGGACGTGGGAAGCACATGCACCAGGGGGCAGGAGGTGTCAAAAAGATCGCGGCGAAGGGAAAGGATAAAGCAAAGGAAAAAAGGCGCAGTTGAACAGGGTCGCCACTGCTGTATAGTTTATGCGTGCACTTTGAAGCAACATGTAGATACTATTTTGGATCGTGTCCATTTTCCTTCGACCGAGGTCATATCTGTGTTTTAACAGTACGTTCTCTGCCTTTCTCTGGCAAGGCTTGAATAAAAAAGCTACAGTGTCGAAAGTGGGTAAATCCATCCGCTTTGCTATAGATGTGATTATTACAAGGCCAGTCATCTCCAATGCAGATGAGAGCCACAGCGCGTGAGTTACAGTACCAGTTGTTTACGTAATCTTTCTGAAGTGACCACTTCTGCGCTACGCTTTCCGCCATCAATGCTCCAGCGCAATTTGTAGCCAATCCTATGAGCAGATTCTTGCGCTGTCTTAGTACCGCACTGCGCGGAGATAGCTTTCCGTCTTTCCGGTATTTGTGGACATTAGAAGGTACAGTACATGGTACTTTACGCGGAGACAGAGACGAACATTTTATGTATTTTGTTTATGCACGCTGAAGGACCACACGAAAGGCTTTTACATACTGAGTCATCAATCAGAGAAGGAGAAGGAACATCCAAAACATCGTATGCTTCGGCCACGGTAGACGACATTGCCACACTCTTTGTTGCGAAACGAAAACGACTATGGACATCCGAAGATGACAATAAACTACTAGAGGGCTTAAAATTATGGGGTGAAGATTGGACAAGAATTCAACAAACATTACCTCACCGTACGAAGCCGCAGATTAAGCAGCGATGGGTTCGCTCGTTGAAAACAGCGCGGAAGTACGGCAGATGGGATAGCGAAGAGGACACTGTCATTCTCAACGAACTTCAAACAAATACGCTTGACGCTTTCGCGGCTGCATCGAAAAAACTCGAAGTACGTCACACTGGACAGATCCATAACCGGTATAGATATCGGTGGAAGCCTGAGCTAGTGTCTGCGGTGAATAACGATGCAGAAGGTGCGAGGCCTGGATCTAAGCAAGAAAAATTAGTACAGGCCACCAAGAAAGCGATAAAAGTGCTTTCTGAAACACCCAATCAAAAAGGAACCTATCGCCGTCTTACCCCTTTCACTGCAGAGGAGGATGCCCGATTGCGACGGGCCTATTACGACTATGGAAACAAATGGCATATTATAGTCCGTGACTTTCCGGGTAGATCTGTGAAGGAGGTCTTCGCGCGTTGGTGGAGAGTTTTGTGCATTCCGGATGGAATGAAGAAGAGAGCATGGTCAAATGAAGAAGATGAACTCGTGTTGAAGGGCTATGACCGCTACGTGCAAACAGGAAGGGTCTGGATTCGTATTTCGCAGGATCTTCTCCCCAGGCGGACACCGGCGCAGATTTGTGCACGATGGAAAAAAATAACTCCTACGCTGAGTCGAGGGAGATGGTCTCAGGCGGAGCACGAGAAGTTTATCAAGGGACTCGAGAAGTGGGGTGACAACTTTCCAAAAATCAGGAGGGAGTTTCTTCCGAACCGCACTACTGAAGCCGTACGAACTCATTATTATTCCTCCATACATCGAGTGAAGTACCCTGCATTGTGGACCTCGGCTGACGACGCCCAATTGCTGAACGCCATAGATGACCATGGCCGGCACTGGGCCTTCATTGCAAGGGAATTCTTTCCCAATCGAACATCAAAAGATTTACATGAACGATGGTTGATCATAGAACCACGGTTCAGGAAGGGAAAACTACCGTGGACCGCGCAAGATGATCAGGAATTGATAGAATCTGTCGCCCAACTTGGGTTAAAATATACCGAGCTGGGGTTGCTGCTGCGACGGGCTCCTCACGCTATCAGAAAACGTTGCGCGAAGTTGGCAATTGAAAACAAGTTGACATTGCCAACAACCTAATCAATACGCATCCAGTTCATGGGTCACAATAACAGAGTAGTTACCACTCTTTTACTGTACCAAGACGGATGACGATTCATGTATGATAATATGTACTGTCATTGAGCAAATAGTGCTCGTGTACTTTAATTCAATTTGTACCGAACTTTTTCACTTGACTGACGCATCAAACATGATCGTAGTTGAAGTTGTACTAGAACAAACAGTCCATGGCTTGGACTGTGTCCCATTCTTAATATCGGCGCATTACCCACTACCACGAATGTGTTTTAGGATCTGCGCTCGAGTGCAGAAGAGCTCTACAGGAAGTAGGAGGTATGACGTTGAATCCAATGAAATGGCTGCATGCCCATGCGCTCAATAAACGGAACCCGAAGTGCGCGGAGGCAATGTCTAGGGAGGGGAAAGACTGAGCACGACGCCTTGTGGCACTGAAAACGAGCGCATTACTCCATAAGCTGTCCCCCACAAACTTAAAAACAATATCACTTACTTGCTAGTGCAAACCTCCTCCAAGAAGTTGATCGCGTGTGTGGCACAGCATCCAACATGTCTTTGTCAACGTAAGCCGCCAGCCCTCACCCTCCTCCAATTGATATTCCAGCCAACGATCGATGTCCGTGCCGGCGTTCCATGCAACCCGCAATGAGCCCAATGTTCAAAGCAATAATTTACCACCCCTGGCACCGGCAGCTGAGAGATTGCGGCGGGCACTCATTGATGACCGACGCATAGTGGAGTCGCTTCCCCAGGATAGGCGACCACCTCTCATATCGTTTCAGCGCCGATCCAAGATCGGCAACGCATGGGCAGGAAGCTCGCTGTATAGTGCTGCCCTTCAAGATCATTTTGCACGCTCATTAAGTTTACATCGTGTGACTGTCCCATCCAATGCTGTAATCAGTCGTCAGAGTGCGCCATTTGTTTCTGGCAACGGTCGGTTAAGCACAGTTCTGGCAAAGCCATGCTTGGACCCCCGTAAGCGTCAGCGCGCAAAATGGGAACGTGAGAAAGATATTGCCAACCGGAGGAAATCTCCAGGGAAAACATTGCTGGATCCTCTACAACATGCTCCTCTCGCATGCAGAGGCGCCCAATTCAACGACGAAAAGGAAGCTTCACTGGATCCACCAGCAAAACCCCTTACGCTTGCCCAGCGCCTTGGTATTGTTGCCAGACCACCGCCTCGACTGACCTCCGACGAGTGGGAGATCGTCAAGGACTTGTCCTTGAAACGAGATAATGGTGTGGATCCCTGTCCAATCTGTCAAGAACCTTTTACGACGGAGCACCAGGTGCGAATAGGTACTACAAGCCAGTAGTTGATTTTTTACATTTGCTAATTCCCAATGTTATTAAAGGTCCTTCTCTCTTGCTCGCATCTTTTCCATCGCGCATGTTTGGATTCGTATGAACGGTATGTCCAGAAGAAATCTTGCCCCCTCTGTCGCGAAGCCAATTATGAAAAGAGGCTTATATTTGAAGGCAAGAAGAGGGTAGGCTACTATTTTGCACCTGAAAATTGGTCACAAACAAAGCTTATGATTATCTCTACAGTACCTGCACACAGCAGCAACCATGTAGGTCACGTCGGAGAGGAGCATGCGACACTTTCGCACTTACTAGGATCATTACTCAGAATTCAAAAAACATGGAGAATGTGGGTTAAGAGGAGACGTTATCAAACTTACCGAAAGAATCATCCGCCGAATGACCGACGTCTTCTCTCGAGCTGGCATATGGAACGGGTACGAAACAATTGAAGTTTTGGGAAGTCGAAGCATACCTTATAGGATGTGTAAGCCCTGATATTACATTCATCGTGTCACAGCTCTCGGACTACACGGATATCTTAGCGCAACAAGTACACTTTGAAAGCCAGGAATTGCAAAGCTTTCTGCGTGAAATGGACAATACGCTCGCTCAAAGCAGAACAACAATTAATGAGTAGGTGCATATACTCGGCTATTGTTCAAAGGAACTCCTATGAAGTCGATTTATTTGTGGACAGAACTTCAGCCAAGTTTGCATCTCTTCAAGTGAAGGCGTGCCTTACTCAGGAGGAATGGGACGAGATCACATCCCGCGCCTGTGAGAGGGGACTGGAAGATGATTGCGCGATTTGCATCATGCCTCTATGTCCCGCACCAAAGGCAGGGAGTAAACGACCAGCTAAACAACTTACTTTGCTGAGCTGCTCACATATATTCCATGCTCAGGTAAAATTCATGATTGCTTTTTGGAGTTTCCAGCAAGCAAGCGTCTGACCCATTTTATATAGTGTCTCAAATGCTTGGAAAAATTCGATAACAATCTACATGTTCATGCATGCCCCGTTTGCCGTACAGAATATGAGAGAATATTGCTTTAGAATATAGCGTTGAACAACCTATGCGGTCATGCACTTCTCAATGTCATCACCGGAGCGTCGTTATTATTAACCGCGCGAGCAATGGCCAGATCAGATCCATTTCTTTTTAAAGAATGTTTATCAATGGATTCTGAACATCCAAGACAACGATAAGCGAAGCTCATGCATGACTTTGAATATGTATCAGTTTCCTGGATGCACTGAGATGTGGCACCGAATCAGAAGTAACAGTACTACGGAAATAGCTGAGCAACATGGCGGTTACAAACAGTCGTCGGAAGGAGAGGTTTTTCTCGTGAGTGGAGACGCCATATCATTCATGTCGTTCACGGGATGGAGTAACAAACAATACTGCAGAGAGTGATACGCAACGTACATCTGATCGGGAGGGCTCGAAGGTGTTCAGACCATGCATCCACCATCCAGTAAATTTGAATATTATATAGATTTATTTCAAAGTTAATAAATTCATGATATGAGCAGCACCTCTTATATCTAAGCTATTTACACACAGTTAGAACATAAATATTCTTCTTTGTCTCAGAACGTCGTAGCCAGGATAGCCACGCAGCGTTGGATCATTTTTAAAGCATCGCTAGGCTCTTTTGATCGAAGTTGAGCGGTGAACAGGATATCCTGCCTCTCCTCATTCAGATACACAGGCAGGAGAACGTCATCTCGCCCTGTCTTGTCTCCACGTCTCTTCACCCATCGGATAAACATCTGTATTGGTCGCGGCTGCAACGCCGAGGACAGCACAAGACCGTCATCTATCCACTCGGCACCCTCCAATCGCATACCTTGATGAATGTTCCAAGTTTGTAAGCAAGTTGATAAGATTTTCTTTAAAATAGCAAAATGAAGAGCTTACCAGACAAAGCAAAGCCATCCGTGTGTTCGGCATTCGAGCTGATCTTCTCGTCAAAGCCGATAGAAACATCAAGCTCTAGTTCCTCCAAGGAGGACTTTGTGATATGCGCGACCGTCTGGCGGGTGGCTGTGATAAACGCTTCGGGAATGGCGAAGCCGCCCAACCAAATCTGTAGATTATCATATCGGGCAGCTTTCGCGATCACGTTCAGCTGCTTGAGGCGCTGATTAAAGTCCTGCATCCATTGATTCAGGGCAAGCCGCTTTGGAACTTTGTATGTGAGCCATTGTTGGGGTATATTGCCTGTCGACATGAGTGCTCTTAGTACCATCGATGTATGAAGGGGAAGTAAGATAAAAGACCCAACCTTTTGAAATGGCATTGGAGAGAGAACGCAACCGATTCGTTTGCTTCTGTTTGCCAGTACACATCTTCTGTAAATCTAGCAAATCTTCCCGAATAACTCTTAATTGATCCTGTGCAATTTCTTGCTCGCGCCCAAAGAAACGGAAAAGAGGGCTTTTGGTTACATCGCCGTCTGTTCTCATCGATGGTAGAGCCTAAAAATGATTTACATATGATGACACTTAGACATCTCGGTTTCTTGTGGGGAACCATGATTAGCAGACTCACCTCGGGTAGTAGCTCCAGCCATCCTGTGACCATCGCGGATAATCCGCGCATCCAAGTGGGGTGACCCGATTGGTCTGCCCCATTTCCAGCAGTACCGGGGGTTGGAGCGATATAAGCCATCTCATCGTCCTCGGCGCTATATCTCAATTTACGGACGTTGCTCAGCATGTGTTCACCTAGTTACTCGGGCAGTGAGAAACAGTCTAGTCGATGATCACATCCCTGAGTTTTGACTATACCTTTTAGAATCATTCGCATCATTTCTGCATTATCTGGTAACCCCAGCCAGGTGGGCGGCTGCTGTTCTGGTAGCTTGTCAACCCACTCCAAGAACTGCTCCATACGTATGCCGTCGGGTATAGCCAATTTCGAGATCCCGTCCATTTCCTCGACAAGGGGATAATTGACATCATAACTGGCTGGAGTAAATAATCGATCGACAAAGCTATTCAACAAGTACTGATCAAACTCATTGTCGATCTTCCCTCCATAAACAGTTTCCTTAATCAAAGTGCGAATAGCCTTCCATGGGATCTTTGCTGGCGGCACATTAGCACGACCTTGTGCGGCGGTGTCAATCCAATGGTCAATCACGGTAAGCGCCATGTCTTGGTCAGAGTCATTGAACTCATACACTTTTGACCACCCCAGAGGAGAATACCGAAGTCGCTCTTGCACAACCGCGTGCAGCCATCCAAGCAAGAAGTGTAGTCTCGCTCGTTCACTGGGCGCCTTCACTCGAGTCGGTGGAATAGCGTTGAGCGATTCGTATAGATTAGCCTTTATACCAGGTAATGGCTCGAACATCAGAATGCGGGACATCCGTAATAAGTTCACAGGAACCTTTGGATTCGTCTCCATCGTTAGAAACAGGCGAAATTGATTGTGGGCTTTCATACTGTGCAATCTTTTTTCCAACTGGCCAAGCCATATCGGCGCCAGATGCACGTTCTTCAGAAGAACCCAAGTTCCACTTTTCACAGCGGTGGCAATAGCCGCATCTGCTTGAGCAAACCCTTCCGCCGAGCCCATGGCTACCGACGCCATGCGCGCAGACATTTCAGCAGCAAAGTTTTCTACACGATAGCTCGCATCATGGCCGGCTACGGAACAAAGCGCTATAGGCGCCGGGTTTACCATCTCTTCCATAACAACTGACCGCAAATTGAGATCCGTTGCATTCAAGAAAGTTGGGCCGAAAATTGCTTGGACAAAACCTGCAGCCGCAGGTATGAGACGGTCAGGACGCATGCACTTTACAATTATCAAATTATTAAACGCCGTAATTATGGGTGCTACAAAAGCAGCACTCAGTAAATAGAGAAATAAATGCATCAATTACTGGATGAATCTTTACCTCGCCGGGCGTGTTCCTCAGACCAGCTCGGGACGTTCAGTTCAGGCTCCCTTTCGGCCAAAAATGCTTTCCATATCTTATCATTCGTCTCCATGTGCAATGGCAGCTTGCTGAATTCTGTCAGTCGGCTGCATTCTGCGACGCGGCGCGCTACCTCCTCGCCGTAAGAAATGACAAGTTTTGTCGAAGGTTGCGCCGATGCAATTTCGCCGGCGCCTCCAATCAAGAAGTCGTATTCCCGCGCATCAATCTGTTCGGCAGCCCCCCGTAACTTCACTTGTCCTAGCATAATCGCGAAGATAATCTGATCATCGTGAAGCAATGCCCGAGATGTTCGCCGGAAGGAATTCTGGAATAGGTCCCGTTCTAAAATCTGCAACCGCTGAGCTGGATCCCGAATATCTTTCAGATTCGGATTGTTGTGCAGGATATACTGGAAGATCTCCAGGAAGAAATCAAGAGACAATTGGTAAAAGCGGTTCAGGAGACTGAGCTGTTCCATAATGAAGAAGATCGCGCTGCAAGAGTTTGCTAGCGGTGTATACACCGCCGTTACATTTTCGACTTCCTGCATGATAATATCCGTTTCTTCGACCTTCCGCGTCACTTCCGCTGCTTCCTGCTTCAAGGTTTCCAATGTTGAGATCACGGTGTCATCGTCCAATATATTGCCTTTAGACGCATTGAGCGCCTGAAGCAACGAGTGCTCAAGATGGCGTAGTCTCAGCTGGAATTCCCCTTGAAGTTTGAGCAAATCTGTGCGCTTGCGATCGGTGTCTGGTCTCTCTGCCTTCAAAACCTCATGGAGACACTGGCTCTGGAGGCTCTCACGAGTTACCGTAAAGTTCACAAACGTCACTCGGCTGCATAAGTCCGGAGGGAAATTCACGGATGGGTCTCGCGTAGATAGAAATAGCGTGAAAGATGGTGAAAAATCAATATCTTGACCACCTAATCGGATAAGAACACGTCCACCGGTGCGTCGCAGTTCCCTGTTAAGGACGGGATTGAGAATGGGATCCAGATGTTCCACATCCTGAACTAGTAGCGGATTTCCGAATCGCAGTGCACTCTCCAGGACCTTCAGGAACGAGTCATCCAAAAAGCTGGTCACCGTTATCTTACGATCTTTGTATTCGTTCAGAAGGAAAGCCGTAGCTTGGCCGGATGGATCGATGAGGAGAGGGTATCGGTTATAGCGCTTAAGCATGATGGCGTTTTCCGTGCAGAGATTGTCCGCTGGAAGCGAGTTTGCTTGCCATGCGATACGTTCGTCGGCGATAGACAGGTAGTTTGGAATTGAAAGCTCGCGCTTAGACTTAATGCCAGCACTCCGAAGATGTGCGGACCACCGCTGCAACAGCGTTTCTCGATACTGCTGACTGAAGTAGCCTCCATATGCCATAAATGCTGCTGATAGAAGCACATCTCCGACGATGGTTGCCATTTGTGCTTCAAAAGATCGACTGCCTGACTCCCATCGCTCCTTTTCCGACGCTAGGTTGTCTAGCAGTCGCAAACTTCGCTCAACTCGGGTCTGGACAGTCTCCATCTCGGTCTTCAGAGACTGTGTTTCGCTGATAAGCACAGCATATTCTTCTTTGTATCTTCCGATACTCTCCTCCAGGTCTCTTATCATGGTTTCAATCGACGCCGCCCTTGTCTTGGTCACTTCGGCGCTCGCTTCCAATTGCTGTACCTCTTGACGCAGCGGTCCGACTCTTTCGAGGATGCTCGCGTACTTCACTTGAGCAATCACCCATTGTACGAGAGGGCCACATGCTTGACTGGCGCGATTGACCGTCTCAAAATTATATTTCGGGTTGGCAAGATAAGAACTCACCACATCCTCTCGCACCTTTGCGCTCATTTTATCAGTATCATAATTAACGATGCTCGGAATGAAATCGTCTTTGCGGATAATGGACTGAACAGTCTTCCACGAGTCGGCTTTATGGCCCAATAGCATGCAGACAGATTCCATAGCCATTTTTACAGCCTCCGGAGGGTTGCTCATTGTCCGCACTTCCTGCAAATGTTGCTTCTTGATGCTACTGACGCTGTTCTGAGCCTGGAGCACTGCCGGTTCTGCTTCAGCAAGATCTTGCAACACAACCTTCCTGCGCTCTTCTATCTCTTGATTCTGTGCTGCAATAGCTTGCTGAATCTCCAGCGACGCCTGTTTCTTTTGCTCTGCCTCCTGCTGATCAGCAACCATCTTCTTCAGTTTCTCGTTGGCTTCGTGGTTCTTCGCCTCGAGCTCTGATCGCTTGATGGCCAGACTCTTCCGAAGCTCTTCCACCTTAACAACGGTCTCTCGCAATTTATCCAAACCAACGTTGAGGTGACGCTGACGTTCCTCAAGATCCTCGCGCTTTTCGTGGAACAGTTTGACATAGTGATTAATGAAATCCAGATAATGTCGAGGGGTGACGTGGTTGAGGCGCCCTTGGCGTTTGTTAAGTTTTTCGTTGATCTCGTGTAACGACTTGTGAATGAAAACCAACGCATTGACGATCACATCACGATAGGTAGGAGGCATGGGAAGGTCCTCATAAACAACCGGGAACTCTATAGGTGCAATGTACCCTGGCATTTCAAGGTCCAATGCTTGTGTAAACTCTCTTCCAACTTGGAAGAAAGCTTGGTCAGACCAATCGCCGAACCAGTCCAGTACACAACGGTTGAACAGGGCAGGGGACGTTGCTGCTCGAGACGCTAGCCCGTCTTGAGGTGGATTCATAGTAAAGACCACGTGTAGATTCTTCATGATCTGGTGTGTGAACCACTTGTACAGTTCTTCAGTGCTGTCGAGCATCAATCCCTCTCGCTGTGCCCCCTCTTTACAGGCGGTCATGAGAGATGCGTGCTCATCACCCTCGAACAACCCTGGAACTTCAGCATTCGCCAGAAGGGTATTCATCTTCTCCAAGAAACCAGAATCCAACACATTGGACTCATCCATTATAAAACAGATCTTCTCTCCTTTGCACCCGGCCCTGCGCAAAACGGTTCTCAAATCTTCATCGAAATCTGCCGCAGAATACTTGTTGTGCACCTTTATTTGGAACACACTCAAGCCATTCATCCAGGCGACAAAGCGAGAGAGCGTGGTCTTTCCCGCCCCACTAATACCAATGAGGAGAAGGTGTCCCTGCATTTGACGATAAACTCTATCGATACGCAGTACGTGTTCAAGAACATCGTTGAAAAGGACCAATGGCACATCCAACTCCTCTTCGTAGAAGACCTTGAGTCGGGCCTTGACAAAGTCCCGCAGTTCGCCGTGTTGGACTGGTACATAGTATTTTGATAGCCAGTTCGAAAATAAAATTGGCCGCGCAAGCGCTGCCTCCCGATTGATGCCCGGGAAGTGCTTTAATGCGACGGTTTCTATCATTTCATCTGTCCATTGGCGTTCTTTCTGGGACACCAAGCGATCTTGGAATAACCGGAGCGCCTCATGTGCCCAGATGCGCACCAGCCCCTCTACAGGTAAACTTTCCAAAGGCTTCATTGCCTCAAATATGCCGCGGACCCAGCGGGTCAGTTCACGGGGGGAATAGATATAATGAAGTTGCTTATCGGGTGTGAACTCTTCCTGAGACGCAAGGTAGAACTCTACCATCGCTGCGGTCAAAGGCTCAGCATAACCACGCAAGGATGGAACGACTTTCAGCATCGCTCTGCTGAATGTGCCGTAGATCTGCATCAAGGACGCCTCGCCTGGGTAATCAACCATCATAACGGGGGCATGCCGGAGGAATCGATGTGATAATGGCACACGACCAGGGTCGGTCGGAGGATTGCATGCTCCAACAAATTGTATCCTTTCCAGTCGCACCCAGGCTTTGTCGCTCTTTCGCCAGAAGCCGCCGTGTTCAACAAGTTGGCGGATAAAAGAGATGACACGCTGTGTACCATATTTATCCATTGCAGGAAGATTGATCTCATCACAGAAGAGAACAAGCCATCGCCCAATTGCTTGTGGTGATAAGATTATACCATTCGGAGTCTTACGATACTCGCAATACTGCTCGAATGTCTGTAAGATCAACTCTGGCGTTGTCGCACTGGAGAAGTTTAATCCGACAACCTCCATCTCAGGGAGTTTTCGAAGTGACGAGAACAATGTCATGGTCTGTCAAAGGTCAAGATGCACGATCAGCTTACTGCTATGATCGAAGCTAAAAAAGAACGGTGTACCTTTCCTGAACCAGGCGGCCCACAGAGAATGAGAGGCTTGTGCTCAGACAACCACGAGTATAGCACCTCTTCGTGCCGAACAGTGTCCATCGTCGGAATAACAACATCAGCGGCCGCAACATTATGCGTTTCTATCTCGATTGTAGGCACCTTTGATTGCCACTCGACCCATTCTCCGGTGGTTATGCTAACATCAAAATCAATGAGGGACACTCCACCTGCCGGAAACTCTAACGTGGAGATGCTCCGGAGGTAGTCCCCAAGCTTGGCTCTTGTCTCTAATTTTGAATCTCCAGTGAAACTCCACACGACGGCCAGCAGAAGACGCTTTGTCACAAAGGTGTCAATGAGGCTGACACTCATCGGAAAGTCTGGATGCGAAGCATTGTAGTCCAATACTTTTCTGACAACATTGTTCAATAGGGTACAGAGCGCTGTAAAGGCTCTGATTTTGGTGAAGTCCATGATATGCTCGACTTTCTCTACGAAATCCATGGCTCGAATAACCAGTCCTCCATTCTTCATGTGTGGTGCCAATATATCTGCAATAATACGCTGGGTCTCGAGCATGGGTGATCGGTCTGAGCTACGCTCATCTGTCAATATAGATGAAGTGTCTTCGTCCGCATCATTGAGGACAACATGGCGAAGAGTCTCCAAATAGTTGTTGATGGCGACATCAAGACTCACGGTCTCTTTGCTGAACCACACCATTCCACAACGACTCACTGTCGCAAGCGTTGCCTGTTTCAGATCCTCCACTTCAAACATGATACGGACATTGGGTGGCAGATTCAACCGCTCGCCATTTGGCAGGGTCAAGAGCTTATTGTCGTCAAGCACCGAGTTCAAATTTTCAACCCATTCTGGATCAACATCACCGTCGAATATAATCCAGTGTCGCTTTGACCCTTCACCCCGTACATTCTCCACGATCTTCCTCAGAATATGCGTGAACAAGCCGTCGGTCCATTCTCGAGTAGTGGGATCCATGTGCCCGTATAAGGCCTCTTTCGACATTGCCTTGGGGTCAATAACGTACGAAACCCCTTCAATGCCCTCTATGCGACTTAATGCATCCAATAACACTTGATGGGCCGCCGTTTTCCCTGATCCGGAAGGTCCTACCATCATCAAACCATGATGGATGCTTTGAATTTGATACAATTGGACCACCTTTTCCAGCCAAAGTCCATCAGCAACAAGGCGCCGCTTGTCGCATGCCACCTTGATGGCGCGCTTCAATATCTCTAGGTCAACAGGTATGTATTGAACTCCAGGGAACACATCGTCAAGAAGGCTAAATTACGACTTCGAATTAGCAATGCTGCGTCAGGGCCAATAACCTTTGATCATACCTTTGAAGCAGGGCAATATCATCAGCCACCAGTTTAGGAATCACTGTCTCTCGGACGCTGCGAATAAGAAGCTTCTGCTCCGACACTTCATCGGATATGCCTTCCTTCACGTCTTTGTCAGCAGCCTCTGGTTTCGTCTCTCCTCTTAGCTGCTGCAATACCTCTCTTTTCAAGTTTCCTGCGCTTACAAGAACACTCTTCAATGAGCGCAAGCCGAAATCATAGTGGTTTTGCGGTGACAGCTGCTCATCGCACAGAACAAAAAGAGGGACGACCTTAGAAGCCAACAATTCTGCTGATCGAAAACCTTGCGAGTATAGCATGACCTGCGCAATCAGTTCTCGATCGGGCTTGGTCATGGCCACGCTGCGGAACAGCTTCTTCAAATTGTCGGGCAGATTGGATCGACCAGCGTAGCCCGGGTTCATGGTAATGAAGATTCCCGTGCTCGGGTCCACTTTGAAGTGCTTGTTGACAAGCTCGATTTCCTGGCCGTTTTTCAGTCCAAGTTGAATCGACTGCACTTGTTGGGATACTGCAGAGAGAATTCTCTCCTCCAGACGATTGAACTCGTCGAAACAACCCCAAGCTCCCACCCGGCACAAACCAATGAAAATGCGTCCCATCGCCTGAAAATCGAAGTTCTCATCACAGCAGAACACCAAAACAAATCGTCCCAGTTGAACACCCAAAGCCTTTACACTCTCCGTTTTTCCCGTTCCAGCAGGTCCGAAGGGACTCCCTCCAAGTCGGGAGTTAAGGGCTTGGGTCAAGGTCAAGTAACAACGATCGGTTAACGGTGTCTGCACGAGACGGTCGGTAACACCCAAGTACTCATATCCATAGTTGAAAGTTGCGTTCGCCATCTTAACGGACAGCCGCTCGAGAGGATTTTCTACCCCTTGTTTAAAGTAGAAGCGCATTTGTTGTAGCCACTCAAATTCGTCCGGAGATGTCGTCTGACTGCGAAGCAATTGCCGGATAACATCACGCTGGTGAACTAGTTCGGTGATCAAATGCTCACACTTCCGCCTCCGTATTGGCGCAAGGTCCGTCAACACCAGATCTGCTAGCACATTTAACCCATTTTCCACAAGAGACAGCGCATCGTTTAGAGGATGGGTTCCTTTGCTTTTCCCCTCCTTTGCCGTTTCTAGAGATTTTTCAACAGAGTCCGTCCAAAGAATTTGCATAGACAATACTACCAACTGATCAGGGTATTTGTCCATCCAACTAAGGAATTTGGCTGCGTCGAGCTTTGATGCGACATGGAAGGAAGCCATGTCAATCACGGCGTCTGAAAGCCACATGGCAAGAGACATCCGCATCTCCTTCTCCAGCAACGTCAACCAATCGTTGATGCGAGGATGTTCTTTGACGGAAATAGGGTGTTTCAACATAACAGTCTCACCCTCCCTGGACACCAAACCTTCGATCATCGACGAGTCCTCGCTAAGTAGCAGACTGGCAATTCCCGCAAACATCTTTTTGAGATGTTTCTGAATTCGAATAATATCCTTACTATTACCAATCAGCTCGAGAAGGTCCTCATCACCCACAAAGTAGAATCTTGGAAATGAGGAACGTTCTCGTTCCAGATATTCTCCGAGGGCTCGTTGGATTTTGGATAGAAGATCCGCCAAACGTTCCATGGACTTTTGGATGCCAGGGATGTTCAGAATGTCTACAACGAATGGTGACTTGTATACCTTCTTCATCAAGGACATAAACTCGGCATTGACGCTCTGAAACCTGGAGCTTTCCACAGGTAAGAGATGCTTGATGTCGACGCTAACAGAGAATATGCCTTCCAGATACACCCATTGACGTTGGACATCAATCCAGACGTCAAAAAGCATGTGGATCCTGTTCAGCTTATCTTCCCAGGTGGAGGCCTCCTCTTCAAAGACCTTAAAGAATGGCGAGTGCTTCATTGCAAAAAGTGAATTCAAGTTCTCTGAGCATTTCGTAAACAATTCTTCCCATCCCTTGATCAACCGGCACTTGTTTTGATATACGACTAGATCCAGCGCGAAGCTGGTCCACGTTTCCTTAACTTGCTTCAAAAATTCTTCCAACGCCATCTCGCCTTGCGCAACAGTAATAACCTCTCGAATTACCGCTTCATTCTTCTTCAGATCCACGTCCCACAAATGGCCAATGGTCAACTCTGACTGCGAGACCTTGGCCCCCAAGTCCAGAGCTTTGAAGAGTTGCCTCCAATGACGGTCCTTCAATGCCTCCGACTTGAGCTCAGTGACCAGCGGATTGACCTTCAGGTAGCCCTTCAGCGTTTCCTGAGCGTAATCGAAAGCCGCATACTGACGCATGCGACTGGACATTTCCTTCATGGACATAAGCAGCTGGTCTAGTTGCTGGCGAATCTTGCGAGGAACCGCCGACGCCCAAACGGTATCGCGAATCTCGTTAATGCCAGTCCATAGACCGGACAGCGCTACCCATACTCCCTTCAAGTCACGAAGCTCTTCGAGAATAGGCTGTAACTTATTGTCTGCCCGTCGATCCAAATCTAGTGCTTCTTTAGCTCGAGAAACCTGATTATAATCGTCTTGCAATCGAAGAAGGCGGCCTTCGAAAATATTGAGACTAGCCACTGCTTCATCCGGCATGATATCACCCTGCAAGGGCTTGCTTTTGTCCCAGTCGGCTGCAATGTCTCGGATTTTCTGCTCAACCATTTTATCTTCCGCGACGATCTTGACCTGCAATCCAGCTGCATATCGGATGTCAACTATTTTGGCTCAATAATGGCAGTTATTCTCGCTACGCACCAATTTGTTCCTGGATTGCCTTTTTCTTTCTGGCTAAAATCTCGTTAAAAGCACTCCATTCCCCTTCAACATTATCGACATATAGCCAGTCATTTGGAAATTGGTATCTTTGGCGCTCCAAGACCTTTTGGCTGCTTTTGAAAGTCTGCACTTGTTCAGTCCAAAGCGGAATCTTTCTCCCAAGGTCCTGGACGAATGTAATGAACGCTACTGCTTCCGCAGTTGAACTACCATCCGCAGACTGCTGTTCTAGGTCTGTGCGTGACTTGGACACTGTAGAGTAAAAGTCTCTCATACTACTTCCCAGTTTGACACCGAAACGGTTCAGAATTTCCCGCTGCCACTGATCGTATTTTGCGTTGACCTTTGACTGAACCTGTTCGTAATCAATGACGATAGGACCGAAAGATCTCTCGGTTTCAGAGTTGTCGAACGTCGCTCGAGCCTTTTTGATCTCCAGCACTAGCTGTTGCCACAACCGGAGATCATCTCCAAGCTGATCATACACGTAATGGGATTCCAGATCCCAAAGAGATTGGTAGCGCAACCAGATCTCGGTATATTCTTGGACGCTTTTGATCCTCTGCTCAACAATATCATAGCATCGTTCCAGAGAGTCTGACAATCGGTTAAGCTAGACATTAGAAAACATCGTGAGATACGATCATCACCATTTCGCGTATACCAGGCGTGGCGATTTACCAGAATTGCATAGGTCATGTTTTCCTCCTTACGATGCGCTCCAACACTCATCTCATAGCTGGAGCTTTGAATGGGCTTCAGCGTACAGAGATGCCCTTCAATTGCAATAACAACCATCAACGTAAGTAATTTATGACACAAATGAGGCTTTGCGGATGGTCTTGCCACGCGTGCATACCTAACCAGAAGTGTAACTGCCTGTACCAATTGTTTCGCGCCTCTTCGATCGGGGGATCCACGTACATAACCTGATTCTTCAACGCAATCTCGTGTACCATGATTTCTAAATTTGGCCTTCGTTCAGTATCTCCCTCGTTGGGTGCCCCTACGATCGAGTTTCGCGCAGAGGGTGTGCTTGCTTTGTGGCCCCTTCGTCGCCTATGATCGATGTTTGCAGGTTCCTCGTCCCCTTGCATGAATTCGTCCATCCATGACTATTGGCAGAAAGTGCGTGAAGGTTAAAATTGCGGGAAACACTCCAGCGCGTTCCATAAATGTGACTACCTTGATTGCCGTCTGCAAACGAGCCGCCAGTACGGTTTCTATGTCAACATTCAGCTTGGCGGTCCAAGATGCCAGGTTCGAATATCCTTCAAGATTTAGGCGATCGATCTGCATACCAGTCAGAATCGCATTTAAATCAGACCACTGCATCCAGTGTACTTACTAGCTTTTGTATTTTCGTTAACCGATCCTGGAACGCGTTCCGTTCAAAACGGCACGTCTTCAATTGACCGATGGTTTGATGAATCTCATCGCTCACGACAATGGCCGAGTTCACTTTATCCTGGAAAATAGTAACCACTGAAGCAAAGTCTCTAACAAAAACGACATGCCGATTCTCGCGGCCATCACTGTAAGGGGGCATCATCGGGCGCGCGTCATACTGAAGAAAACAAACCAGGTATCCATTAGGGGTACTCAAACGAAGTGATAAATCCAGTGATGATACAGACCGCATTAACAAAGTAGTCCCATCGAAGCTGGATACCCCGTGAGATGTGAGAGTGTACATCACGACGGTACCCAGCTACCAGCGTTGAAATCCCATCGTGGCGATCAACGTTATACGCTGTTTGGGTATACGTCCGCACTGTTTCGCTCAAGGATACTGCGAATGGATATACACGTTTCGCATCTTTTGCAATATTGGCGACAGTATGAGGAACCTGGAAGTTTAGCCAAAGCAAGTTCCGCACTTCTTTGAAAAGTGTAATTGTTTGCGACTCAAAGTTAATGCCAAGTTGCAAAATGTTGCCTTGCGCCCTGTTCCGACTAATCTCGAAAATCCGCCCAGTCACCGAAAGCTCTCGTTTCATAATATCCGCCAGCCATGTGTCGTAAATGGGCCGAGTGTCGAGCTTCTTGCGGAAGGAACTGCTTTCCGTTTGCAACTTTTGCCCCTCGGCGTACATTTCCCATCCCTTCCCTAATACGTCTTCGACTCGCTTCATGTACAAACCCAACTGTCGCTCAATTTGTCGCGCCCAAATTATTGCCCCCGAAATTGGTGGTAGATCCCGTAGTTGACTCATTTTGTACGCTTGGGAATTCCTGTAGTGCACCTTAAACTTGTCGTGCAGCTTTTTAATGTCATCCTTCACGCTTTCTATCAGATGCGCCTGATACTCCTGGATGGCGCCACGAATCTTTGGCCGTACAAACAGCGCATTGAACTTTGAGAACACGCGGAACATTTCATTTGCATTCTTGGCAGTTCCCAGCCGATCCCTGAGTCGTGCAATTATTTGATTCTCAACGCGCGAGACCC